TGTTTAGAAATGTATACAATATTGCAAAATTGCAAATAGATGTAGTTAGTCTTGCATAAACAAAGAAGAGTGCAGGGCACTGAGAAAAAACATTAATAGGGAATTTATTAATGACCCTCGAAGGTAAAGATTAAAACAAATCATAACATTGGGCTTTGAATATAATAAGAAATGACCTCCTGTTCTGCCTCAGGTTGGCTTAAGACAGCTTCATATTAACATTTCTTTGATGTTTATTAATTCTGAATCATGAAAGAGAAATGAGCATCTTGGCAGTCAAAGAATGACGTACACCTGACTATCTGTAAGTGGATATTTTCTTTGGCGGGTTTTTTGTGGGGTTTTTTTCAAAATCAGGAAACAAAAAGCTGCCAAGGTCAATCTTGAAAATATTTTTGACATTTTGAGTTGAAAAGTCACTTTGGAAACAGCTCCGATACAGATCCTTCAAAGGAGAAACATTTTCCTGTTCCTGTCAGCTTTACCTTGTGCATTGGTAGTACATAGAAGCACCAGTAATATTACCTCAAAACCTAGAAAGCATTAAAAACAATGGAATGGCAAAGCAAGGTGCTTCTGTGCTCACCTCCTTTTTCAACAGTGAATTAGCTGTGTTACAAACATAAAGTCGTATTAGCAGCCTGGCGCTTCTTGTTCCGTCAGAACAGATTGATACACAGAAATCAGCAAGCGAAGCTTTTCACACCATGGAGATATTCACCACCTATTGATATTTGCACAAGAAAGGCAGAACAGCCTTTGTAAAAAGTTTGCATGGGATACATAGTTGCAGTCTGATCCTTAGCATGTTTACTGCGAAAGAAGTTGCACTTTGTTCAAGGCGGCTTTGTCCCAAGTAAGCATGTGTAGGATTGTGGCAATCAAGCCTAGTACTCTGGCTGAAGTAGTTTGCCGATGGAAACATCAGCATGTAGCTTGAAAGTATTCCTCAACTCCGCACAATTCCTGGAATCCCAGGTGGCATCGGTGGCAAAGGAGGGCCTATTTTCAGTTTACCTGAGCTCTAGTAACCTCATGTTTAGATTACTGTAATGCCCTCTGCAAGGGGCTACCTGTGAAGATAATCTGAGAGCAGAATGTGGCCACCAGGGTTGTAAGCAGTGCTTCTCTTTGGGACCATGTTGATGTAATATAGGAATATAAGCAGTTGCCTTCTACTGAGTCAGACTATTCACCCATCTAGCTCACTATTTGTCTACAATGAATGGCAGAGGCTCTGCAGACCTTTAGACCTGCAGACCTTGGTCCTACCTGAAGGTGCCAGAAATTAAACCTCAGGCTTTCTGCAATCAAAGCCAGATCCTCTACCCAAGCCAAAGCGCTTCCCCAAGAATGGTTCTGTTCGGACGGCTACTCACAAAGCCCAGAACAACTTGGGTCCCAAATATTTGTAGGGCTGCCTCCCCCATTATTAATGTACTTACTTGGGGGATTTATAGCATCCCCTTCTTCAAAATGGCCACCAGGTGGGTCACAATTTTGTAACTGTCCATTCTCTCTGTTAAAAAACGGAATACTTGGGCTGCGTGTACAACATACAGTTATAAGTATACATCCCCCCCTTAAGAATCCTGGGGCAATTTACCCCTCACAGAGCTACAATGTCCAGCACCCTTAAACTACAAGCTGGGTGGACTATTTTTTATTTTCTCTCACCCATTCCCAGACTGTTCTTGGTCTTTTTTTTGGGGGGGGGCACTTAAAATTCCATTGCACCTCACCTATTTCTATGCCTAACTTAGCTTCCCATACACATTTCATACTTTATGTATTATCAGTGTCTAATCACAGAAACCTGCCCTTTGTTGAGTCTGACTCTTCCGTTATTCGTTATTCAAATGGTATCAGTTTCCTGTACTATTTTATTATTTGGTATAAAAGCACACATGTAGTGTGCCATTGTAACAAGAAGATACGGATTCTGTGCAATTCCCCCCCTCCAAAAAAAATTGTTGTGTTATCATCTTGACATGTAAATCACGTCATTTAATCTAAACAAATCCCTTAAAAACCTCTCAATTCTTGTATTTTTCTTTACTAGGAAATTATGGAAGGAATAGAAAAACAGCTGATGCTAATGTTTTTCTCTTTTCTTTGTATATTAAGCTTCCATTTCCCACCTCCTGCTTTTCCGTAGTATCTACCGTATTTTTTGCTCTATAACACGCACCCAACCATAACACGCACATAGTTTTTAGAGGAGGAAAACAAGGGGGAAAATATTCTAAACGAAACAGTGGATGTATGATTTTTGTGGTTTATGCTGTGGCCACAGACATGTGATCTGACGGTGAGTTTGGGGTAGCCCAATGCAAAAATCCTGAGGATCCATGTGGATCCATGCTTTGTAATCACGTTTTTGCACCCCAGGCAACAGTGGGTGTGTGATTTTTTTGGTGCAAGCTGTAGCCATGGACATGCTATGTGATCTGATGGTGAATTTGGGGTGACCCAGTGCAAAAATCCTGAGGATCCATGTAGATCCGTGCTTTGTAACCACATTTTAAGTGGGGAGGGAGTATTTAAGTGGGGTATGTGGAGAAGGATGCTGCTAATAATGCAGAAGAGGGGTTTAAGGGGAGAAGGAACACGCGTGGGGTGGGTGGAGAAGGATGCTGCTAGTAATGCAGAAGAGGGGTATAAGGGGAGAAGGCTCCTCTCCTCTCCTGCTTTGCTCCTTTAAAGCAAGCAGGCTCTGCGTCTCTCCCTCCTCCCCGGCTTAGCGAGCTGAAAAACTTTGCTGCTATTTAGCGAGCTGAGTGGGAAGGAGAGAGGGACAGAGAGCGTGGTTGCTTTAAAGGAGCCAACTGGACAGGAGCCGCTTACACTCGTGTAAGTAGCTCCTCTCCTCTCCCGCTTTGCTCCTTTAAAGCAAGCAGGCTCTCTGTCCCTCTCTCCTCCCCACTCAGCGGCTCTTCTCCCGCTTTGCTGTTTCAAAGTGAGCCACGGAGGAGGGAAGGAAGGGGAACCATGGATCCTCTGCTCACGACTGCAGCAGATCCCCCCGCCATCCGTAGGCATTCGCTCCATAACACGCACAGACATTTCCCCTTACTTTCTAGGAGGAAAAAAGTGAGTGTTATGGAGCAAAAAATACGGTATTTATTTTTCCTGGCCTGTGTGTTAAGTTTTTCCTGCCCCCCCCCCCTCTGCTTTTTGCTGCTCTCTGTGGAACACCATTTTGTTTAGGTCTCATCATTGTGCCGAAGCCCATTTAACTTTTAACCCTTGGGTTTAAAACTACTTTTAAAAACACCCTCTGCTTGATGAAGACCAGGCACCATCCCCTTCCTCTTGACTGCTAAACATGGGCTCCTGCATATCTCATAATGGCAGGAAGGTTTAAGAGCAGCAGGTTGCAGAGCTCCAAAATCAGGGAGCATCTCCCTGCCCTTCCCACTGCATTGCTCTTGTAGTATTGTGGGATGTCAAGCTGCACGTGCCAAAATTCTCCGCAGCCTTGCGGGTCATCTTCAAGTGAAGAAAAGGCTAAGGAGAAAAGCTTACACAAATGTGGAGTGGAATCCCTAAGACTTTGCGGCAACTCCTGCAGCCAAGCTGGTGTTAAATGTAGCCATACCTCATGTTACGTTTGCTTCAGGTTGAGCGTTTTCAGGTTGCATCCCGCGGCGACCCGGAAGTACCGGAAAGGGTTACTTCTGGGTTTTGACGCTCGCGCATGCGCACAAAATGACGTCACACGCATGCGCAGAAGCGGCAAATCACGACCCACGCATTCTGCTCATGTTGCGTTCTGCTCATGTTGTGAACGGGCCTCCGGAACAAATCCCGTTCACAACCAGAGGTACCACTGTATCGCTCTGCTTTCCTTTGAATCACATCAGTGAGGACGGGGATGAGGGGTCGGGTCTTGTCGTCTGGGCAGCCCAGGACCTCCACACTCACTGCCCAGGCTTACGCCCTGGAGAGGTCACTTCGGTGCTGCTAATGCAGCAAAAACAACACAGCAAGCAGTAGTTACAAGTTACCGGTCTCTGCAGCCACAGCAGGCACTGTGAGTCTCCAGAGGTCTGACCACCCCTCGAGGTACACTCCACTGTCTCTCGGGCCAGACAGAGATCCAGGCTGTGTACACATTACCTGCTTAAAACACAGCTAGGTCATTCTTTTGCTCATTTCAAACTGGGGGTGCATTTGAGTATAGCATTTTATAATAAATGACCGGACAGGTTCAGCGAATGGCTAATATGCATACATCGCTTCCCAAACTTGTGAGAATGCACTGGATGTAAACAGATACAGCCCCACACTTGAAATTAATTTTGGAAATCTGTAATCTTAGAATGCCTGATTAAAAAGAACTATTTTATCTCCTAAAAAATTCTTATTAAAATATAACATGAACTTTTTGCCTTTTGATTTTCATGCTTGTTCTGGTGGGAACTGCAGGATGCAAAAAACAAGACTGGTAAATGTGACTGATGCAATCTCTATTTTGATGTTGATCTGTAACCAAAATCAGAATCAGGCTTACTGTTCACATATACATGCCACAGATCAGCCTGATGGCTTAGCAGGAAAGTGATTGCCTGATAAGAAAGGCTTTATGTGTCATTTTCACATGAAATACTTTCCCCCAGCAGACTAAGCACAATTTTGGTATCAAATGTTTTGTTTTCACCTGATGAATGCTTTTATATATCCTGTCAAATCAACAGGCTGAACACCCAGAAGAAATTGTGCCTATTCCCCTCATGATATTCTTTTTATATGCACATTTCTGAAGTTCCTGAAAATGTTTAATGTATGCTAGGAACATAGCTGTTTTAGATTTGATGCATTTAAGACTCCTTCAAACGTTTCTTTCATTTCCCCCTTGTTACAAAGTCAGTATTTCACATTGTATTTGATGCAAATAGAATTAAATTAAAAGGCTTTTAGAAGAGGAGGAAAAAAGCAATGTCACACTTTAAGTTTCAGAAACACTTCTAAAATGTCAATCCCTGGTGACAGTTGGTAGGGTGAAAACTTTTCTTTAATTCTTAAAAGCTTTTTCATCAAATATTTTTGTTCAGGCCTCTGATATATATAGCTGGGTTCTTACAACAGAACTTCTGTGGCTAAAAAGATCTCAAAACGATCCGCAGAATTTTCAAAGGTCTCCCCTCATTTCCATCTCTCCTACGAACTCAGGTTATACCTTTTAAAGGAGATGTAACTCACCTCCCAGAGTGCACCGAAGTCATATTCTGGAAAAGAAGAATTTACCTCAGAAAACCTGATTTGTGAAGTACGTAAAGCTTAGTTTCTCACTTGTGACACAGCTCTATCTCCAACTTATAAAACTGGCAACTTCATGGTAATGCTGACTTTACATGACTCTAATGCACATGAGAAAAACATGTTTCCAAGGAAGACACAAGAGGCAAAGGGAGCCCAGGGTCAGGAGGTTTCTTCAGACAGGATAGGACAAAGACCTGAAATGAAAATGATGGCTGGAACAAGACAAACAGAAGGAGCAAAAGGACAGAAATGGGGAAAGGATGCAGCTATGAAATGGATAGAATTTTAAGCATAGCAAGATACTGATAGAACAGAACAATCAGTTGGGGGCAGCAACAGAGAAGCCGGGTGTTCTTTTGGAATACCTTCCCTAGGGTAGCCTACCAGGTCTTCGCATTGCATTCATGAACATGGTCAAACTATGTTTGGTTACGTCAGGCTTCCTCAAACTTGGCCCACCAGATGTTTTTGGCCTACAACTCCCATGATCCTTAGCTAGCAGGAGCAGGGGTCAGGGATGATGGGAATTATAGTCTCAAAACATCTGGAGGGCCAAGTCTGAGGAAGCCTGGATTAGGTTTTAGGACAGACTTTTGGTATTTGACCGAAGTTTGATACTGCTTGGCCAGTGGGATTTTTTGGTGGTTTGAGTTTAACTTGTATACTATTTTTATCAAAAGTCATTTTACCAGTTTGGTCGAAACCAAAAAGCAAGATAAAAACAAACTGCCACATAAATGAAAGAGTGGTTCACACTTTCCCCATCAATTAAGTCTTAAAGGAAGGGAGGGAACCCTCCACAACAGTCCTACACTATAGAGCAAAGTATGAGATTTGCTGTTCCCTAAACCAGAATATACATTTGCTGCATGTTTTCTTTTTTGCTTTTTGTAACATACCAAGTTTAATTACAGAGTTGTAATGCTAGATTACAAGACCAAATTCAAAAGTTATTAACAAAAGATACTTTTATTGGATTTTAATATTCAAGCATTAGTTTATGATCTTTAGAAAGAACGTATTAGAAAAAACATAGGTTCTTTTCTCCAATCAGAATGTCTGAGCCCAAAACATGCAGTTTAACTTGGTTGCAGATATGCTCTTGTGGGAGACATGCAGGCATTAACGTAAACTCAAACCAACTCAACATGATAAACATGTTTCCATTGCTTTTTTCCAAGGATGCATATGGGTTAATGTCAATTCCACATCTAGCAAATTGAGCCATTCTATTAATACAAGACAAACAGCATTTCTGCTTGTGTATGTTCAACCCCTCCCCAATCAATTCTACATAATATGAATCATTAAAATCTGTTGTGAGCACACTTGACAGTGCGTCTTCCTTCTCTGTATGCAGATCTTCTCAACATATTATCCAGTCTCTTAATCTAGTTACGCTAGCGGATTAGAACTGACAGTGTAGTGCAGTTATGAACAGTTACATCTATATAGGGTAGAGCAGATTAACAAAAAAAAAAAAAAAAGGGTAAACCAACCTAGAATTTAACAAATATAATCTACATATTTTTAAAACATATCAATATATCTGTATTTACAAAATTTCATGGGTTTATTTATAATATGTGATGATCCACTGAAAATGTTGATAGTAATTATTACAATTATGAATGGATAGATTCCCAAGACTCAAGAGGCACATGGTTCCAAAGGCCAACAACACTGGAACCTAATGAAGTCACAGAAAAAGTGAGGTGGATTTATGGCCATAACTCCAATATAAAAAAAAATCAGGGGAAAAAAATCAAAAGCAACACACGAGTCAACCTTCCAAGTCATGATAGAAAGAAGTTATTTCACTGGGGCAGGGGGATAATTAACCCCACTCAACAAGCCTAGAAAACTGTATTTACACCCGTTATTTATTTAGAAGTATCATTAAAAATTCTGTAATGTACTCACTTCTAGCCAGTCATTTAGAATTTAAAAGTTCTACTATAAGCAACATTTACAAACGCATACAATATTTAACTTCAACCTTCAGTAAGAACACCCAAGTGAAAACAAATTGCAAAGTTATAATACAAATGTTTTGGGTGGGCAAAATGTATATTCAGTATCATTCACAAGGTACAGAAGTCAATACTTCAGATAAAGCTTAAATTCTTCTTCAGAAGCGTATCATTATATTAGGATGATGGCTCCTATATTTGACAGTTTCTTCAATCCACTTTTACAACGCTGTATATTTTGGTCACAAACCAGAAGCATGCGAAGAATCCAATTGTTCCTACAAAACAGAACGTGAATTTTAAATTGGCAGAATAAACATCAATGGATCTGTTACAGCAGGGATCCTCAAACTATGGTATGTGGGCCAGGTAAACCTGGCGCGGTGTAGGAAGGTGGGTGCTTGGGGAGCGGTGTGCAGCCTGGGGGGGCTCCCTGGGGGAACAGTGCCAGCCTGGTGGGGTGGGGTGACAAAATGGCGGGCGGCACAGGCTCCACGCCGTTAAGACATTGAAACAAGAAGCTTCTGTGCCTGAAAGAGAAGGTATTGTGTATTGCAAAATAGGGTTGTGTTGATGCAACACAGCTGTTTATGCAGGAAGCACAAAAATGCAAATGAGCAAAGGATCCATGTGGCCTGGAGAAAGTGTGGAAACCACATATACCAAGGATGAGTTTTCATTTCTGTTAGATACTGTAACACAGGGGTCCGCAAACTTTTTAAACAGGAGGCCAGTTCACTGTCCCTCAGGCACTGTTGGGGGCCGGACTATAGTTGCCCAGAGTTGTTGACCTTTTTTTTAGGGAGGAAACCTCAAAGGTATTGACCTTTTTTACAGAAGGTTGCCCTTTTATGGAAGGTTGCCTCTCAGGACAGGACCGGATACCAGCACTTGGAGCACAACATGGCATAGTTTTGATGCTGAAAAGCACAACCAACCAGACTATTTGACTTCATAATTTTTGGCTGATTTAGAATCCAGGGTAGCTGAAGGATATTGGAGAGTGGAACATTTGGTAAGTCTGTTCATGGCTGGAAGATAACCATGTGCTCCAATAAACCAACAGAGACTACTGCTTTTACAGCCCTTTGAATATGTAAGTTCCTGAGCAGTCGAAACCTGCTTGACAATGGCACATTGATTTTATGCACATTGATTATTCACAAAAAGTATGTACAAATGGACTTTTTAAAAAATGTCACTTGAAGTCTGTGTTTCATGTAACTGAGAATTAATGAGTGTGAATTTAAGTTTTTGCAACTTTAGATGACGGAAGATAGGTATTGTTCCTTTACATGTTGCAAAACTTTTCTATGTTTATGCGTCAGGTTCTAATTCAAAGTTATGTATGTGTGTGTGTTTGCAGTGAAGAATGAAGATTTAGCAATGGTTCATTCATGATGGAAAAATTCAGCAAGAACTGTGAATGATATCGTATTATTTTTTTCCATAGTAGCTAAGCCACTGATGTTTAACTGACTCATTTACTCCGATACAGTATTGTGGGCCCAGCTGTAAGTCAGATTTGTCACATAGCTCCCAGTATTTTGCCTGCTGTGTCTGATCAATGACCCGGAATGCAGTGTGAGAAGCAAGTGCCCCAAGCATGTGCTACACCGTCACAGCAGCAGGGCACCGTCAGAACCCTTCTTGAGGCTGACCATTTTTAACAGATGAGTAAGCAGCAATATAATAGTTTTGATGCAACAATTATGAGTTTCTCTTTTTAGCTTTTATATCATCTTGACACAGGAAGCTAGATGCCTTCGGGGCTTGTGTGTGTAATTCTGATCACTTGCTAGAATGATCTCATCCAAGCTTAATGAAATTTACTATGTACGTATCCCTTAATACACAGCCTCTTTTTTCTTGTAAACAGCTTCTGGGGGGAGGGGGGAGGGAGAAGAATCCCAATGCACAGTTATCGGCATATAAAACTGGAAAACGCTACAAAAACTATTCCAGAAAGCAACAGTAACTTGTGCAAAAAAATTAAAAAATCATTTAAGATACTAAAATGGTATCTAATTAACTTCTTATATTTTATAGCCATCAAGGTTTTGACGCCTTTTCTCTAAACCCTTACAAGTGGAGAAGAATGTTCTCCAAATAGTACAGCTCTCTCTGTATAAAACTTCTAACAGTCCTTAATAGGTAAACAAATGCAAGCATGCAACAATACAGATTAAAAAGCGGAAGGGTTTGTATTTTGCATTTTCAATCAAATTCTGAAATGGCCCCTAACTGTGTTTAGGAATTATACAGATGACTGCCAACGTTCAGCAGCCAGAGATGCAGGTAGAAAGCAGAGGAGCAGGGAAATGAACATAAAGATGTCCTGGCTACAGTTAAACATCCCACCTTTATGTCACGACAACTTGAGGTCCATAGTCCACATTAAAATAGACAGGCACACAAGTTTGTTTGTTTTTTAAACAAGCAACCATAGGGATGTCCGTCAAACATTAGTATGAAAAAAGTTTGCACATGGCTCTAGAACTCTTAAACTGTATTGTGTGAAGCACCCCAGAAGAACTCTAACATGAAGTCTCAGTACCAAAAAATATATTCATATTTACCTGTGAAAAGGAAGAAGATCAGTACCATTATCATAGTGTAACCAAAGTATAAAATGGTGCTTGCTGTACCCGTAATTTGAAGTTTGGAAAAGAAGTAGTGCACTGCGTATATTAGAAAATAAACAGCGGTAAAGCCACTGGTGAGAAATGAGCGCCACTGCCAGTGATAATCCTAGAACAAAGAGAGAAATGGTTGAAAAACCTGCTAAATACTTGTAGACCTTCCGGGCTACAATCAATCAACTTACGTGCATGAGAATATTTGCAAACCAAAGCAACATAGACTATATATTTCATATCTAATAATGATGACCCTTTATAAGGTTTTAATAATTTTCTAAGATGAGCTACTGGCAATTGATTGTGTAGAAAGAGACCATTTGCGAATCAATAACTTATTCAAATAAAATACTACAGGGATGCCCTTCTGAAGGGAGCAAACACATTCTAAGCTGACATTTGGAGGACCTGCATTTTGGAGCAGATACCACAAATGTTCTAGGACAGTGCCCAGTGCCAGGCATGTAAAGGTGGGTGTAGAGGATTTCCACCCCCACCTTCCTATCTCTAACACAGCAGGTATGTACTGCAGTCCAAGTACAGATTCACTTGAAATGTAAAATGGGATTAGCATTAAGAAAACCAATTGAAACCATGGAGCCTGTTTTTGGTAATATTCCACAGCTAGGTTCTTTTGGTGATCAGCAGCAAGGCTCCATTTACTGTATCTGTCAATCACACCATGGAAAGTTTTAGTGTCAGAGAGGACAAAGCTGTCTTTAAAAAGAAAAAAAGAAGACGCACTTGACCCCAGCAGCTGATACGATTTTAAAGACAACCTGTTGGGAAATTGATGGAGACCGTCACCTAATCGGGTTAAAACGATTCAAAATATTTGAAGGTACAAACATTTGATTTATTTTAAAAGATGCTTAGGTTGCCTCATAGGATGTCTTCTCTAAACAGCCAGCAATGAAAATGGCAGGTGTAAGCAAGCAATAAATACAGATTAGAATGCACAACCCATCTTAAAAGGGCCATATATTTTACATTTCTCGGCCCCAGCAAGTTTTAGCAGTTATTACACGATCTATTATATTTGAGTCAATACACAAATCTGGAGTATACCCTATGCTGTCCCTAAAACATGAAGTAAAAATTAAGGAACTTAAAAATAAGGTTGAGCAAAAAATGGGGGTGGATGATATGATGATGATGATGATGATGATTCCTATACAGTCGTACGTTGGATCCCAAACATCTTGCGAGTTAAACGGTTTGGCTCCCGAATGCCGCAAACCCGGAAGTGAGTGTTTCGGTTTGCAAACTTTCTTTGGAACCCAAACGTCTGACGTGGCTGACCTAGCTTCTGATTGGCTGCAGGAGCTTCCTGCAGCCAACAGGAAGCCGCGCCTTGGCTTCTGAACATTTTGGAAGTCAAATGCACTTCCGGAACGAATTCTGTTCAACGTCCAAGGTACCACTGTATTTATATGGGTACCTACTCAAGGTGGGGTTTTTTTGGGGGGGGGGGAATTTGGCCTCGCTCCGGGCACCATAATACCAAAGTCTGCCCCTGGTCCTCAATACAAACATAAGTGGACAGAGGCACTTTATGAAATCTCCCTCCACCGTTGTGTAAAAGGAATAGCAACTTAGGAGCCAAGTCATTGATTGAATCCTTTTTCCTAATAATTTAAATCCCCCCAAGACAGGACTGTTGCAAGAAAGAATTCTGTAGGCTTACCTCCGCACACAAGTGGAAATAGCAAAGTAGAATAGTAGCCTCAGAACACGTGATAACCAGGATAATGAACACCAGAAACAAGAAGCCAAACATGTAATACATCTGATGAGACCTAGAAAACAGAAGTTTAAGCATAACAAAAGTAGTCTTGGTGAAGTTTACCTGGCCATTCTAGCATACAAGTGGCAAATATTGTTGAACTCCAGCATCTGAAGACTGCTCAACCAAATCCATTAAGAGTTTATGGCATAAAACTACTCCCATGTTTAATTCATCTCACAGTTGCCCATGGACTTTAGGGCCATAGACAAAGATTCCCCACCAACGAACTGTCTCACCTAAGACTGGTAAGACCTTCTGTGACATAAGAACACTAAAACCAATGTCAGACAGAGGTGTCATGACACTCCAAGACCTGCATCAGGCAACTTTTGGTTGGATGGTTTCAAAAGCCTATGGCCAGACAACTACATACTTGCAAACGTAACACAGGCTTTATATGACATTAAAGCAGAACAGTCAAAAGCTTTGATAATGGAAGAAAGCAGAGAGAAGTGCAGAAAAACAAATACAAGCTCTTTTTTAAAAAAACAAAACAGCAAGTTGAAAAAGTACTTTAGAAGGCATCAAACATTTTTCAAGAAGCGTACTGGCTTACCATATGCTATTAAGAATGAAGAAAAGTTGTATGAAGATGCATCCGAAGGGCAGAATGCCTCCCATAATGATACCAGGTAATGGCTGCGTGTAAAATGACTGTTCAGGAATCTGACGAGGAATCTGATTAGTACGAACTGGATGTTCTATGGCCTTTAAAAGATATAAACAAGGGTGGGGAAGAGACTTTCTAAATAATCTAAATTATACTAAACACCACAAACAGAAGGAAGTACTTAGTCAAAAGAATTTACAATCCTATGGCTTTCTAGCACAATAAAGGAAATCCAAGCTAAATCTCATCTAACGAGGTCTACCACATTCAGAATGGTTTTCTTTGCTTTGAATCCTGTTGTTTGACCATGCTTTATATATACACAACTCAATCACTGAAGTCAGGCAAGACCCCAAAATCCACAGCCTTCTAAAGGACTTGACCCACCATTTGTTTTCAGGCAGTTCAAAAGGTACGAGATATGTGTGCAGAGAAGGTGAGTAAAACATGTTAAGATCAGAAAGACAAAGAACTTACATTCTTCTTGAAACCAAAGTAGGCCCCAATGAACGTCAGTGGTACAGATATGCAAAACCAGAGGGCTAGAACGGCAACCAAAGTACCAAATGGAATGGCTGCAGAGGAATGTTCTCCCCAGAGAATCAGATTCATGATGAAGAAATCGGCAAACACAATGCTAAGAGAGAAACGAGATTTAACAATTAACTCACACTTGATTAATTTCAATGTTATTGAAATCATATCACTATATGTCTAGCTTAACGTTGAGCCCAGGTGGCATGTAGAAAATATCAGGCAAAGAGGTCAAGCAAGCCTTTCTTCCTTAATCTAACAGGACTGAACTCCAGCAGGAGTTGACGTTTCAGTTAAATAGCTCCAAATATATGTCTGTCTTAGCTCCACTTCAGGGGATGACTGCTTGCTGTGATTAAGCAGAAAGATTTGACATAGGCATTGTATAGTATATGACACCACAGATGCAGTGTGGTCTGAGAAGCAGCCCAAGGAGTAAAATAAAGAATCAATGAAGAGAACCCCTGTCTTTTTAAAAAGTACTTCTGTCATGCTGGGACTGCTTAATCGACTTTTTTCATGTGGCAGAAGGAAACAAGGTTTACAAAAAAACCAAAAAAGGGCACGAACTGTGCATAGCTCTGACATGCAATGATGTTGCTGTGTTTTACTTATGTTGCTGAAGACTCACCAGTTTTAGCCAAGCTTCTCATATACCTATTTTAATAGTAATCATAGGAATTAACTTACCCAGGGCAAAGGAAGGCTGTCAGCAGAACATTTGTCTTCCATTTTTCACCCCCAAATGCTGTATGAAAAGAAACCCAAACAGCACCAATTAAATGACAGGTACTGTACAAACATAATTCCCTATTTATTAGAACAGTTTAGACAGGCACTTGAACTTAAAGTTCAGTTTTGTTATTTGTTTTTTCATCTTTATTAAAACAAAATTTTGAAAAATTAGACTGATTCAACACACCGTACTGCATTATACTAAAAGTGAACACTGATTGAGAAGCTCAGTAAAGCAGTTATAGGTTTAACTTTTGTTTTATCTCCCTTTCAAATACATATAGACCAAAGCAGACAAAAGCTGGATCAAACTTCATATGTCAAACAAAATGCAATTTCAAAAGCCACTGACAGTCTGATTTCCATAACAGTATGTCAGTTACCTCTTCCCCTGCAAGCAGATCCAAGTAAGAACAATTGACGTTAGAGTTAATACAATAAAAGAATATCCAACTTGAAAGTTTGCTAGCTTGAGAACAATCTAAACCTGCATGTAGTCTCTCTTCAGTCTTAAAACATTTTTCCATCTTGCCCAGAGGGCAAACAGGATCAGAGGGGAAATCACTGCTGTGATGATAATTTAGACTAATGAACTTAAGTGCTGTCACGTTAAATGAACTTTTGTACTTACATTTGTAGAATCTGGCAGCAACGTAACCTGCTGGGGTTCCAAGCAGCACCCACAGGACCACAGCACAGGTCATTAATGCCCCCCGATTTGCAGGTGACAAAAACCCAAGGCAAGCAAAAACTGAAAAAGGAAATACACAATATTTAGAGGCCTCTTAAAGATATGTGTGCTTCTCATGTAGACTACCTTATTCACATCTGTTGTGCACAGTGCCTAGGAGTGGTGGCACAATAGTATATTTTCCCCTTTTTTCCAGAGGTTTCAGATTTATTACTTTGTGAAATTCAATATATTTAGGATTTGTGCAGACGTAATGCTCCCTGATCTTATCATCTATCCACAGTTCAAGTAACCTGAAGAATACTGCAAATCATCTCTGTGAACTTCCTGCTGGCTCCTACAACATCCATTTTCACTTTTGGAACCCACTACAATAGCACTATGTGTATACTGGCATAAAATGTGTTAAAATGTGTTATGGAGGGGGTATTATTGGGTTGTTTTTATTTTTATCATGTGTTTTGTGTTTTGATATTGTGATTTTATGTTGCAAACTGCCCTGAGACCTGTGGGTATATGGCGGCATTCAAATTTAATTTAATAATAATAATAAGGATAATAACAGTAATAGCAGTAGTAGTTACCAACCAGAATTCTTATTATTTTATTTTTACATTTAGATTCCATGTTTCCTACAAAGAGCTTAAGGTGGTATACGTGGTTTCCTCCACATTTTATTCTCATGTGATATGTATTAGGTCAAAACATGTGACTTGACTGATGGTCGGCCAAAGAGCTTCATGGCTGAGTGGGCATTTGCATGAACCCTAGTCTTCTGGGTCCTGATCAGTTCACCACTCTAGCTCTCAGCATCAAAGCAGTTTGAGAGTCAAATCTCCTATGTGTGTTTATGTATGTTTTGAGGACCTTATGAACATCCAGCACCAGCAAACATGCCTCAAACCAGGAAGGGTAAGGTAGATACATGCAAGCAAGGGAAGGACAAGGAGAGAACAAGCACATTGCGTGTTGTTGATTATCTAACCAAGGTTAGGCAGAAGAGCTTTTAGAATTAAGGGGCACTGCTTCACCCATGTATCCCATTACTTTATACTTACATAGAGTAACAAAAGTCATAATTAAAATCTGTGTTCCAGAGCCCAGAAACACTGAGAGTAGCATTCCTTTTCTTGGAGGCCTAAATATGTCACCATGAACCAGTTTCCAACCAAATTCTTCCTGAGCATCTTCCTGAAAATTAATAAGCCAGTTGAGGGGTTTATACACACAAATATATATATATATCTCTAACTTCATCCCTCCAAATTTACAAACTCTGCGTATGGTTTAGATAAAATACTGAAATATCACACAACACCAAACATTCAAACTTTATAACTCGGAAACCAACGAGTAACATACAAATGAGACCTCAGAACTTTGTTCTTTCAACCTTTTGGGACATAGTAAAGTTGGACACTTAGTGTGAAGGTTCTTGTTGGGGGTGTCTATGGTCTACGAGGCTTCTCCCCAGTTCTGTCCCTGGCCAAGCTGAAGCAAGAATGCCCTGAGTCATGCAATCATTTGTAGACAAAGTCACTCCCCAACAGGAAGAAATCCAGTGTGTGCTGGGATGACAATCTGAAAATCTCACTATTCTTGGCAGGGTAATTCATGGGATACATCAGGCTTCCTCAACCTCGGCCCTCCAGATGTTTTGAGGCTATAATTCCCATCATCCCTGACCACTGGTCCTGCTAGCTAGGGATCATGGGAGTTGTAGGGCAAAAACATTTGGAGGGCCAAGGTTGAGGAAGCCTGGGATACATCATTCATCAAAAGAAGTAAGCAAAATCATGGTAATCATCCAGCTCCCCTTGGTCTGTTTGGGGTAACCTTTGGGGGGATAGCATCTGTGCCCAGCATTACCTTATGGAAAACATATAAGAAGGCTCACAATTCAGATCCCCTGTGGGCTGCAGTTATTGCAACTGGGAAGGCCTCTTATTAGTTAACTGTCTCAATGGTAAATCCTTCAGGTATTCAAGATGCCTGTGATATCCAAGATTAATCATACTCAGACTAGATCTAATGAAACCAATGGTCTTGTTATTTATGCCCATTGAGTTCAATGGATCTACTCTTGAGTATGATGTAAAAAGCATCCCTATTAATATGTATTATTTTCACAGAACAGACTGTGTTCCACCTTTCCTTTTGACAATATTATACGCTACGATGTCCTAACACAAAATTTTGTCAGTAACTATTGTTGCAAAAGGAGTATGTTTATATCAGTTGCAATACAGTTGCAAAATCAGCTGGGGTTTTTTTCTGTAAGCCACAATGAATGGTGTATTTATACTTGAAGGGTAGCATATAAACATTCTAATAAAATGAATATACATAAAAGCTATTTGGGCATAATACAGATAAAGAGTTAGGTTGCCAATGTGCTTATCAGAACATGACTGAGGCAAAGACATTCACAACATTTCTAAACATGAATATTTAGAAGGCATCACAAAAAAATGATGTATTAGAGATCTGAAAAATTTAAAGCATTTCTTTTCCAACTTGTTTTAAAAAAAACTTATACTTACAGTAGAATCCATCTGATTATATCTTGCAATGTCTTTATGCAAAGTTCTTAGCATGATCATAGCAACCATCCCAGACAGGAAAAGGACAATCACAAGAGAATTCATAATGCTACAAGGAAACATGATGGGCAGTTGTCAAACCATTATCTTTTTTACCAAAAAAAGTGCTCCAATATGTTGAATTACAAAATGAAAACATTTCCCTTACCTAAACCATTGTATATGTGTGTGAGGCATGGATTCTAAAATATAATCCCACCTGGAGGCCCACCTGATTTCATCATTTTTCTGAAGAGAAAAAGGTTAATTTTTAGATGTCATACAACTGAAAGAAAATTATAACAAACTTGCCAAGTTTTTATACTGAGAATGGCAACATAACCACTAATATATATATATATATATATATAATGCATAAATAATTCTTGGGGATCATGAACAACTTATTTTCTTCTGATGTTATTTACATAGATACTAATGAGAATTTTATCACTATTTTCAGTGGAACCGAGAAATCACTAGGATTCCTGGCAACCAACATTGTTATGATTTTCGTCATAATATTCAATATTTATAGAATACTTTTAAGTCTTCAAAGAGGCTCACAATATGCTCATTATCTTGTTATAATCCTTACAGCAAGCCCTGTAAGTTAAATCAGTATTATGACCCACCACATTGCTGAGGAAGCACAACTAAGGCGTTGAGTGCCTTACTTAAAAGTTTATCAAGTGAGTTCATGACAGACACAATATTTGAATTGTGGATTTCTAACTCACCATGCGACATCTCTCACGTTCAAGATCAGATGTCAAGAATGTCAGCTAAAACATACAGTGGTGCCCCGCAAGACGAATGCCTCGCAAGACGAAAAACTCACTAGACGAAAGGGTTTTGCGTTTTTTGAGTCGTTCCGCAAGACGAATTTCCCTATGGGCTTGCTTCGCAAGACGGAACGTCTTGCGAGTTCTTGCGAGTTTGTTTCCTTTTTCTTAAAGCAGCTAAGCCGCTAATAGCCGCTAAGCCGTTAATAGCCGCTAAGCCGCTAATAGCCGCTAAGCCGCTAATAGCCATGCTTCGCAAGACGAAAAAACCGCAAGACGAAGAGACTCGCGGAACGGATTAATTTCGTCTTGCGAGGCACCACTGTATTCTTTTTGAGCAAGGAATTGCTTCACTAAAATATCAGACATGATAATGAACAAATAAAAGGTGGCAAGCTGCTACAATTGCCTCTATACTTCTTGAAGGCTATATTCTGCATAGAGACTTCTCACTGAAGCTGCAATCCTCTACATAGAATCATAGAATTGTAGAGATGGAAGGGATCCTAAGGATCATCTAGTCCAAACCCCTGCAGTGCAGGAATATGCAGCTGTCCCATACAGGATTCGAACCTGCAACCTTGGCATTATCAGCAGTGTGTCCTAACCATCTGAGCTATGTGCTTGCCTAGAAGTAAGTTTCACTGACCACAGTGGAACTCACTTCTTGAGTAAACATGTATAGCATTAAGCTGTAAGGTAAAGGGACCCCTGACCATTAGGTCCAGTCATGACCGACTCTGGGGTTGCGGCGCTCATCTCGCTTTATTGGCCCGAGGGAGCCGGCGTACAGCTTCCGGGTCATGTGGCCAGCAGGACTAAGCCGCTTCTGGCGACCCAGAGCAGCGCACGGAAATACCGTTTACCTTCCCGCCGGAGTGGTACCTATTTATCTACTTGCACTTGACATGCTTTCGAACTGATAGGTTGGCAGGAGCAGGGACCGAGCAACGGGAGCTCACCCCGTCGCGGGGATTTGAACTGCCGACCTTCTGATCAGCAAGTCCTAGGCTCTGTGGTTTAACCCACAGTGCCACCCGCGTCCCAAATACCATTTTAGTGTAGATCCAATATAGAGCAACCAGGGGCCTGCTCACCCAGTGGGACTTCTTCCTCTCCTACCACTATGGCTCCCTGGCACACTTGCAAAAGCTACTCTGGAAGGCAAGCAGATTTCTGTCGCTCAGGCAAGTGGCCATCATTGGCTGTCTTCCTTTATTAGGATTCCAAAGAATTTTAACTGAGTAACATCTATGACATTTTCTACAAAAGTTATTTCCCTAGTTAGCCTAGAATAATGCAATAAAAAAGTTTAGATGAATCGCCTTTCTTAAGACGTTTACTAGGATTTCATTAGTATTTCATAATGCCACTTTTTAAAATTCACCTAAGACAGCTCAGTCAGTAGAGCACAAGACTCTTAATCTCAGCCCCATGTTGGGAAAAAGATTCTTGCATGGCAGGGAATTGGACAGGATGACCCTCATGGTCCGTTCCAACTCTGCTATGAATTTCTGGTATAAGAATCACCAACAGAGTGTTATTTTAAAACCTCAGAAAGTACCGTATTTTTCGCTCTATAAGACGCACCAAACCACAAGACGCACCTAGTTTTTGGAGGAGGAAAACAAGAAAAAAAATATTCTGAATCTCAGAAGCCAGAACAGCAAGAGGGATCGCTGCGCAGTGAAAGCAGCAATCCCTCTTGCTGTTCTGGCTTCTGTGATAGCTGTGCAGCCTGCATTCGCTCCATAAGACGTACACACATTTCCCCTTACTTTTTAGGAGGGAAAAAGTGAAGTCTTATAGAGCAAAAAATACGGTACTTTCCAAATCATGCCCTCTCCAGGAAAAGAAATGGGAAAAGCCAACAAGAATACCAACCTCAAAAGTAACTGAATATGTGTAGGGAATTTTGACAGTTCCAGAAGCAAGCTTGTTACTTAAATCCATAGGTGGTCCCGTGCAGTCTGGGCTGTCAGGATTAGTGTGCTTGTAACTGTTTAAAAAACCAAAGACAATAGATTTGAGTGCAAAATGCAGTCGTTCTGGCAGCAGATTTTAAATAACCAAACTAGGAGGAGGGTATTTGGTGGCCTGAAAGGGACTAGCCCCCCTGCTTTAAATCATAGTTTGAATTAAGAAATGGCTTAAAGTGCACATTGCTCAAAGGTCCCCACAGTGCTCCTTCCCCACTTCTTCATTTAACAAATTAGGGCTGTACCAAACCAGAGACTGACTTGATGTTATGTGTGAACCAGCACTCACGGTTTGGCTTTCCCCCCTAACAAACCATGCTGGCAAGGCAAGGTCTGTTTTTTAGGAGAGAAACAAACCTCAAGTGCTGGTTTGCACATAATGGCATGGTATCTCTTCTACTAGGAATAAGCAGGAGAGGAGTGACTCTTGAACTTTGGGGCAACAAAGCCATGATTAAATTGTAACTACGGTGCAGTTTGTGTTATGTGTGAACTGGGCCTATATAAATGGGATCACAATGGTAGCAATGTTTACTAACTAGTATCGTATATACTTGTCCAGTATTATTTTTCCTATCAAGAATGAAAACTCTAAAGTGTTCTCTCCCTCCCACTCCTATATCTTCCACTTAACATGAAGTCCACTGTGAGGAGCATGTTAAATTCCCTTATATCTTTCAAACCAAGTTATAACATTGCCAAGATGCCATGCAGATCTAGTAATAAAACTAAAGGCTCACCTTTTTGGTTCAAGTTTAGCAGCTACTAGTCTTGCGCTGGGAGCTTCATTTTCTACCATGTGGTAGGCTATTTTGATGTCCACATGGTTGAATATGTAGAAGGTGTCGTGTTCATGGAACTCAGACTACAGAAAAAAATATGTAGAAAAAACTTAATCAAATAGGTGGATGGAGCAGCGCACAACTGGCTATAAAATACCTCCCCTCCCCTTCTTCATCATCATCATCATCATCGTTATTATTAAAATTTATATGCCGCTTGTTTCAACAAACCACAGATAAGATTAACCACATTTTATTTTGGTTTGAAAATCACAACAAGCTGCACTACATCTAAAATGGAAGTAAAAGCTTCCAAACTCCTTTTATAGTTCCACAGAAGGGGAACACATCAGTCCACTGTTTGCTTCCTGCATTCTCATACTATACATAAAAATGAGGTAACTGTGAAAAGCCATTTCATAAGATTCCGTAAAAATTGATCCCATTTCTCAGGTTTAAGAAATTAAGTCTCCTTGCAGTACAATAAACAGCATTACAATTTACCATTAATGCTAATTTATGAACTAAGCTGACTTTTGTATACAGAATCATGGATGCTGGGAATATCCCAACAGCCAAACTTTCAGGAACAACAACAACAACAACAACTGGGAGCTGAAATCCAATTCCAAAGAAATATATTCTGTCTTTCAGAAACAAATTCTCCTCCACGCAGAGACTGCAAATTAGTTTGAAAATTCAAACTGGTTCACCAGAATCACTAACGGATAACATTACCTGTTATCCATCCAATTTTTCTTTCATGCAACAATTCATTTCTATGTTATTTTTATGCTGTTCTAACACCAACTGCTTTAATAAAAGGGGAAGGCATAAGGTGTGGAAATTAATGGTTTCATGGAGCAGACTTAGGATATGGGAGGAAGATGTCAGGCTGAGAAGCACAATAGAAAGCAGATTAGCTGCCTATTGTTATTAGAAATAGCCTTTGTCCATCTACGCCTCCTTCCTTCTACTCCTCCATGATAACTCAGTCATTGCAATGGTGTCAATGCAGGCTCCTAAAAATAGTATACTTACACTGATAACAGCAAAAATTTAGAGGGAGGGGAATCAAGCAGCATAGTAATCTTGCACGCATTATTTAAAATTTATTTATACATACATTGATAACACAGGCATCTTTGGGATGTCCATCTTCTGTTAAGTAACAACCAATGGGAAATCCAGGATTGCAGAACCTTTGGTTATCTTCCACATCATAACACCAAGTTACTGGCATATTATCCACAATCCTATAAAATGAATAAGTAATACAGTATTTTCAGATGAAGCCTGTATCATTAAAGATGTACCACAGCCATAAATTTTGAGAAGAACTTTACCTGTCAAGGCAAAATATAGATTCACTAACAATGTTAGTAATAGTAATGTTTGTTGTTGTTTAGTCGTTTAGTTGTGTCCGACTCTTCGTGAGCCCATGGCCCAGAGCACGCCAGGCACTCCTGTCTTCCACTGCCTCCTGCAGTTTGGTCAAACTCATGCTGGTAGTAATGTTTAGGTGATAACTAATGGATACTGCTTGGGGAATAGATTCTCTGTTTCTCTTGAATGCCTCCCCAAATCGGCTCCAGATGATTCGCACTATCACCATTTGCCTCTATAGTTTTTAATGCACAAAAGGATATCTAATTGCTGTTCCAGTAGATCCATACTTTTATTTTTTAAACAGAAATAAGAAATTATAACTATGTTGTATTAAATGGAAGAAAACATTACATTTCTTTCCACGAATGTCCCATATTTCTCATCATAAGCTACCACAATTCTATATTTTCTACTAAAAGTAAGCAATTGGTTAAAAGTTAAACATGAACCTACCAATGATGCTGATAGTTCAGTAGCATACTCTTTTTCAGAAAATCTAGTTTTTGCTTGTGATCTGGGTTTTTCAAATCATATTCTTTTGTACAAACATGCTTGCAAGTCTCTGTTTTCTTAAAGGTAAACTAAAAAAATGAGAAAGAATTTAGAAACAAGTCTCCTTTTTACACATTGCTCACTCAAATTACTTTAATGGAAAAGTTCCCAAAATAATAACAGCAGAACATCAAAATGCACACATGCACAGGTTCTCAAATTATTACATACAACAATTCAGTTAACTTACGTGATTTTACCACGTGCCTAATAGCAACTTTTTTCTCCACAACAGCAAACCCAAACTCTCAATCCAATTTTTATTTTGTTAAGAAGTCCAACTATACTGAAAACTATTTCAAACTATTCTCTCTTTTACCTTAAACCAAAGGGAATTTTGATCCAAGTCTTTTAACAACCTGAACTGCAAAAAATATTTCAGGTGGCTAATTCAGAAGGATTTAATAAATAAAAACCTATGGGTAGAATAGGCTAAACAACAGAATTTTCTACATGGCAGTAATACCACAAGCACATTTAAAATAATACCTGAGTGAATTTTTATACATACTGATCCTATACTAGGCTTCTCTGTCCTAAACTGCTTTAAGAGACTGCCTAATATGGTTGCAACGGGACATAGGTGGCGCTGTGGGTTAAACCACAGAGCCTAGGACTTGCCAATCAGAAGGTCGGCGGTTCAAATCCCTGCGACGGGGTGAGCTCCCGTTTCTCAGTCCCTGCTCCTGCCAACCTAGCAGTTCAAAAGCACGTCAAAGTGCAAGTAGATAAATAGGTACCGCTCCGGCAGGAAGGTAAATGGCGTTTCTGTGCGCTGCTCTGGTTTGCCAGAAGCGGCTTAGTCATGCTGGCCACATGACCCGGAAGCTGTACGCCAGCTCCCTCAGCCAATAAAGCGAGATGAGTCCACAACTGGACCTAATGGTCAGGGGTCCCTTTACCTTTTTCATATGGTTGCATGATGTAATTGAAAACTATATAGTAAGATGAGGGTACAAAGAAGCAGGACTCATCTTAGTTTATATTCTAGCAATACTGTAGCTGCAAACAAAGCATTACATTTGGTGCAAATGAATGAATGTGTTTTGGGGCAAATGAAAAATATAGGATACCAAGGTGAGATGTTCCCAGTTTGTTTGGTTTTTTTAAAAAAAAAACCCACATTCCTAATTTCATCAACTGGCAGCCAACATGTCCGCAATTCCAATGCAGCACAACTGTTTCTAAGGTAGGAATATATTATCCAGGCAAGCCCTTTTCTTCTATAGCTTGGGGCCCTTCCCTTGAATAGCCTAGGAACAGACTAAGGCTGTGTGCTTCTAGGGAGGTCTGGCCAGACATAGGGCATGCCTATGAGGAGCATAGCTAGACATGTTTCTAAGACGGCTAAGCTGACCAAGCTTCTGAAGCCCAACCAGATGGTAGGCGGGGGCTGGGGGAGCGAGCGTCACTCTTGTCAGCACTGCCAGAGCTATGCAACTGGACTCACCAGCCCAGATATTATTTTGCATAATGCAACACCTGCGATATTGCCCAGTCTCAAATCTTCCATTTAGTGGGAGATTGAGAGGGTGGTTGCTGAACAACTCCAAGCACGCCTGGAGGATGCAGACCATTTGGATCCCTTCCAATCAGGATCTAGACCTCATCATGGGACTGAAACTGCCTTGGTCGCACTGGTCGATGATCTCTGGCGGGCTAGGGACAAAGGTGAAAGCTGTTTCCTAGTTCTGCTGGATCTCTCAGCGGTCTATGATACCGTCAACCATGACATCCTTCTGGACCGTCTAGAGGAGCTGGGAGCACTATTATACACTAGTTCCGCTCCTTCCTTCTGGGCCGTGTCCAGAAAGTGGTGTTGGGGGATGAGTGTTCAGACCCCTGGGCTCTCACTTGTGGGGGACCTTGGGGTTCCATCTTCTCCCCCATGTCTTTTAATATCCATATGAAGCTGCTCGGAGAGATCATCGGGGGTTTGGGCTGAGTATTCATCAGCACGCAGAAGACACCCAGCTCTACCTCTCTTTTAAATCAGAATTGGTAAAGGTCCTGTGTGAGTGTCTGGAAGCAGCTGGAGGATGGATGGTGGCCAACAGACTGAGGCTGAATCCTGACAAGACAGAAGTGCTGTTTTGGGGGGACAGGGGGCAGGCGGGTGTAAGGGACTCCCTGGTCCTGAGTGGGACAACTGTGCCCCTGAAGGAGCAGGTGCGCAGCCTGGGAGTCATTTTAGACTCACAGTTATCCATGGAGGCGCAGGTCAGTTCTGTGTCCAGGGGAGGTATCTACCAGCTCCATCTGGTACGCAGGCTGAGACCCTACCTACCCGCAGACTGTCTCACCAGAGTGGTGCATGCTCTAGTTATCTCCCACTTGGACTACTGCAATGTGCTCTATGTGGGGCTACCTTTGAAGGTGGCCTGGAAACTACAACTAATCCAGAATGCAGTAGCTAGACTGGTGACTGGGAGTGACCGCCAAGACCACATAACACCAGTCCTGAAAGACCTACACTGGCTCCCAATACGTTTCCGAGCTCAATTCAAAGTGTTGGTGTTGACCTTTAAAGCCCTAAACGGCCTTGGCCCTGTATACCTGAAGGAGTGTCTCCACCCCCATCATTCAGCCCGGACACTGAGGTCCAGCACAGAGGACCTTCTGGTGGTTCCCTCACTGTGAGAAGTAAGGTTACAGGGAACCAGGCAGAGGGCCTTCTCAGTAGTGGCACCTGCCCTGTGGAACGCCCTCCCATCAGATGTCAAAGAAATAAACAACTGACTTTTAGAAGACATCTGAAGGCAGCCCTGTTTATGGAAGATTTTAATGTTTGATGTTTTATCATGTTTTTAGTGTTCTGTTGGGAGCCGCCCAGAGTGGCTGGGGAAACCCAGCCAGATGAGTGTGGTATTATTATTATTATTAATCATAAGTCAAGCAGTGTGGGGTGGTGCTCCTGTCAGAGTTGAAGCAGGCTGTCTCCTTGTTGCCAGGCAAACTGTCCAGTAGGCAGCTCAGCAGCAAAGGGCCTGTGCAGCAAGACTCAACAATACCCACAATGTAATGCTGATGTTGCAGGAAGTGCAGTGTGGGAAAATGTAAATGGTCTAATTTACCCACTTAGGGCTCGGACCCCTGTGAAGAAAAGGTAAAACAGGGGGAGCAACACCAGTGAGTCCTCTCCTGATCCTAATATTTCCTCAAGAATGTCATGTGCTAGGGCAGGCTTAACCAAAAGCCTAATAAAGTTTTTAAAACCTTCAGTCCATTTGTACAAATCAAAACATGCCAACAACTGGGATTCACTGCTTAGATTCTGCAAATTCTTTGATTTTTAAAACAATTAAAATACCTTATATGGCGAGGGCTCAATCCGTTCTCCAAACAACACCTGACCAAGATTTTCAGATGGACGTTTCCCTTCAGATGCTTCGCAAAAATCAAACCTAAAATCAAATTCAGCAAAACTTGAAGTCTGTCTTATATTCTATATCTAAAATGCATACCTATATAAAATTCAGGACAATTTAATGAATTTCACAGGAAACTCTTGAATCTTATTTAAGTTGCCTTATTTGAACACACTTCCCTGTTGACAATCATGTTCACTAAGTTGACTTTCAACCAAGTGTGCTTATGTCTGAATCACTGAGCAATATATTTGAGATAATGCTCCACACAAATTATTTGCTTGTTACAACTCCCTTCATTCCTGATCATTGGCCGTGCTTTCTGCAACAGATGAAAGTTGGAGTTCAACAGTACTGGTCTATATTAAGCACCCCCAAAGTAACATCTAATTAAGTTATTTGTGCATGCCATTTAAAGATGATTGACTAAAAACTTTCATTCTTTACAGGGATCCAAAAATGTTAGATTGGCTTATTAGTGCAAATTGCAAAATTTGGGATTCTACGTTTTGAAACTTCTATAGCCAGCAAAAACCATTAGTTCAAAATTCTTCCCAAGTTTTTTGTTTAAAATATATAATATATAATTGAATGGAAAAACCAACTTCTAAAACAGAGCAAGAGAATCCTATCCTCTTGGCAAATATCAGGAGCAGGATTTAGCAAGCTAAATCTTGGTACAAAGCAACTAAACCAAAGACCAAGTAACACTGACACTGCAGCTTGGACAATCATAACCTTGTCTACAAAATCTATCCTATCCTAAATCAAAGAATAATATTTCATATACTTACGCAGTATATTCATATGGAAGGACTGATTCCACAGAGTCTAGTCTATTCACAAATAGCTCTATCACAGGCTGCAAAAACACAACGAGACATTATTTATAAATTTAACAACATGTATACACGTCATTGTAATAAAACCTTAAATTCGTTAGTACTGTAGTGTTATACTGTATTAAGATATATACTTAATGTATCAGTCATCAAAGCTATACACACTGCAATTATAGAGTATTTTGACCATTATTCTAAATGTGTATGCTCTGCCCTTCCTTACAAAAGATGAATTACATTATGCAATTAGCATTATGTAATCAAGCTTGCCTGTGTGACTTCTACAAGTAGCTATAAAGAATAGTTGTTTTGATTTAAAACCACTGTATATAAGGTCTCTGCATAGTTGCCATCTGCATAGTTGCTCAATCAAACAATAAAAGTAGTAAAAAAGAATTGAGATAGGACAGATTTAATAAACAGAAGACTACATGCATCTAAACTACTTAAAGTGACAGAAAGTCAATGAGGGAAACAGAGTATTTATGAATTTTTTAATTAAAAGAATTTGTAATACAAATACACTGTAGGAAAACTATATCGGAAATGAAAATGGCAAATAGTGAAAAACAGTCTTTCCAATAGAAAAAATGATATAAGTTACACTTACAATCCTGACTTGGGGCCAGGAGGAGCAGAGAGGCTGATCAACCACCATACCCCAAGTCCTGATGGCACATGGCAGGGCAAAACATGGTGGTAGGGGGCAGGTCTTCCTTCCACTTTGCTATACTAGCTCTAGGCTAAAGCTTCCATTGAAAACTTGCCATTTCAAAAGGTGAAAGGATGCCAATAGCAAATGTATTAGGAAAGCGTGGCAATTTAAAGATTTATTCAGGAAACTAAACATGCCAAATCAGCTTATTCTCTAGGACACCAACGTTTCAAGGCAAATTGCCCTAATTTGTGTAGAAAGGTTTTCCCATTCAAAATTTTCTGGGAAACCCGCATCACGGACCTCCACAAACTTAGAAAAATAGCATGAAGCCAACGCCTCTCTCCACGAAACTGCATCCAGCATTGTGTTTTCCCAGAGGAAATGAATTAGAATTTTTTCCAGGTTTGAAACAGATTATTTTTAGAGGATACTCTCTTTTGGATTACTACCTTGTTTTATCTCATTTGGCAGAGGAATATTTTAAGACACTCAGGGCTGAACTTTATACAGCTTTTGTTGACTTAGTCCAACATGATGAATGAATTTTATTATTTCGGTCACAGACCAGTTCCAGCCCACATACAATATCAAGGAAGTCATAAAACACGATAGGGATACTGTCAGGGAACTGCCATCGGAGCTGGAAGCGGAGGGAAGGCTCCAAAGGGATGGCGGAGAGGGTCCCAGTAGGGAGAGAGGGAGCCCGTCTGCTGGGGAAGGAAATCAGCGTAACACCAGTAGAGAAGGGGGGCAGATGGGGGAATCGGGGAGGAGGCTCCAAGACTCCTCGCCGGAGACCAGCGGAGAGAGTACGGGTACTCCACTGCCCACACCCTCCCTGCGCAGAAGACTTCCGCGCAGCGAGAGTAGGAGGAGACTTGGCGTCAAGGAACTTTTGTGCTGGAAGAAGTTTAAGAAACGCCCACTGACGGATTCTGCCAGCGACTGAGACAGTCACGATGCTGGAGGCTGTTCAGTCAGAAAGGGTTAACCAGCTAACCTAGCCAGGAGTGGCGGCAACTTACGCACGAGCAGCCCCTAAACCCATTACAGATACATTTGATCCAACATGATCATTTATGGAAAAAACTGGAGGAGTCTTCAGCAGACAAAAGCCTATTATTTCTGATTAGGTGTTTTACTGTGAGACATCCCTACAAGCCAGCTATAGTACAAGAGGTCAGCTCTCAACAATATTGTTGCATCAAGGGAGGAGAGTCAGATATGTACTTTGGCTCCCTTTCTGCTTGATCTGTCCTCGTATGATTCAAGTTCAATTCACTTGAGATGCACGCCCTCAAATTGGAAACCACCTCCATTAGTATATTACTGTAAGCAGATGATGCTCTATTGCTATCTTTAACAAAAGTTTTAGAAGGGCTTTAAAGCAATTTTCTTCATAGAGAAACAGTGAAAAGATGGTTGTGATAGAACTAAGATCTTGCTGTTGTTGGTTTTCTAGAAGGGGATTGATTTCTAAGTGGTATATGGGTGACTATTTGTTGGAGCAATTAAGAGCCTTTTGGTACTTGGTGTTCTTTTTTTGTTTTCCATTGCTATGGAAGACCCACATAAAGCAGGCTATAGCAGTGGAATCTCTTACCTCTCTGGCTTTCATTTCTAAAGGTGGACAGTTTGTTCCAGCCATCTTCCAGGTCTATAGCAGAGCTTTCCAAACTTTTCATGTTGGTGACAAACTTTTTAGACATGCATCATTTCATGGCACAGTAATTCAGTTTTACAAAGAAACTAGAGATTAAACTAACCCCTTTCCAGCCCCGGGAGGAGCGCAGGGAGTGTTTGCATGACACACCTATACACTGCAGTTGACACGCTAACGTGCCGCAACACAGTTTGGAAAGCTGAGACCTGCGGGTATAGGGCAGTTAATTAATTAATTAATTAAGCAAGCTCTGGTCTCTATAGGGTCAAGATTGCAGCCCAGCAATTGTTTGGAGTTGTTTTTTGGGCAGAGAACATTGATGGCACTCTAGAGAGAAGGCACAAGGGAATTTTTTGAAAATAATTTTTGGAACTCCTAAATGTATAAGGAGAGCATATTGAGGTGGGTTTTAGGTTCCTCCAAGCAGTTGCATAGAACACTGTTTGCAATTATTGGCTTCATATCCATTTCAGGAAATTTACGTAGTTGATGGTTTGATAGTCAGAGATTCTTTCATGAGCTTCTGGGGTGGAATCTGCATTAAATACATCTTTTGGGATTTTTTGTGGATATCCCCACTACTTTTCATTAGGAAACTAAGGTGTGCATAGAATTAAGGAGCTGATGGCCTTTTCTGTCAAACTTGTTCCCCAATATATTTGGGTTTGGATAACTGGAAATGTTATTAGAGATAAAAGTATTTTCAGCCCTCTTAACCTTCCTAAAGCTCAAAGAGCTTTTATGCTGGTGTGATGCAATTCTCTGCCAGGAGCATTAATGGAAAGTAGATTTAACTGAACTTAATTAGAAGAAAGAGTACACCATTGCAATGAGGGTTGTCAGAAATTTATTTGTCATGTTCTGTTTCACTGCAAACACAACAGAGCTAGGAAGCATCTGATCCTCCCATATTTAAAGCATCAATCTGGTACTGATGTCAGAACTCCATATGAAGGGAAAAGGTGAGTATGTTATAACTCCATATGAAGGAAAAAGGTGAGTATGTTATAAGAACTGTAGCCCTTTTTAAAGTTTGGTGATCAAGATAAGGGTTCAGATGATCTCAGAGTGAGTTTGAAATGGATGTAAAGCACTATATCTTTTTCAATTATATTACATTATGTATGTAAATATCCATGATGTTTGGGGTCTGGTACTCCAGTTGTATTTTACAATGGTATTTGACTTTTTACAATGGTATTTGACTTTATGAATAAATCTGATCTGCAACAAAACTATTTTTTTTTTCAGTTGTCCTGTTGTTATTATTCTTATTTCATGATGTACTTATGAAATAGAACATTTTCTGTGAAAAATAAAGCAGTGGAACATCCCCCAGATGTTTTATACTTGTAAATCACTTTGGCAATTAAGCAGTATATAACAACAACAACATACAGTATTTAAGTGCACTTGCAACATTCATTCGCTTTGCTACTCTTACATCTCTTTCCCCACAACTTATGCTGTTTTATACTTCTTCTTCTTCTTAATTGAATTTTTACACTTTATACTCTTTGCTAACTCTGCCCAATATGCAGCAAAGGTTTCAGGAATCTTAACTTGATTTCCAAACACAAAGTGATCCATTGGAAGGAAAAGACATACAAATGAAAAGAACGTAGTATGGCCTTTAGCCAATAGACCAGGTTGAAAAGGCATCATCAGACACATGGAGAACATCTTTTCTCCTGAGAACAATGTGGTAGCACCTTTACATGCCTAGGTTCACTGCAGTGCCTTCAATGTATCCATACTGGAGAGAAACCCTATTCTTGCCCATACTGTAGTCTGCCCTTCACAGAATCAGGAACTTTAAGGAGGCATGAATGGGTTAATCAAGTTGTCCAAACATAGTATTCATCACATTGAGATTATTGTTGTTTTAACTTTCTACAAACATTAAAAACTTCCTCATAACACTCCATATGCACAGACTATGGCATGATCAATGCATGCATCACAATGAGATGGTAAAATCCTCAGGTGATAAATGGAGTGCTCTGCTTTAGGTTACAGGTGGCAGTATTGTTTTCCCCTTGCCGAAGAAGCAGCCCCTTGCTGTTGTTTAACTCTTCCAAGCTCTATGTACACTGAAGGTGATTTCCTTAAGAATGGATGCGTTTGATCTTCTTGAAGTCCATGGGACTCTTAAGAGTCTCCTCCAGCACCATAATTCAAAAGCATCAATTCTTCGGCGATCAGCCTTCTTTATGGTCCAGCTCTCACTTCCATACATCACTACTGGGAAAACCATAGCTTTAACTATACGGACCTTTGTTGGCAATCTCTTTAGGCAACTCATTAATAAAATAAAATATTCCTCTAAAAGACCCTGAGTCACTAGAACATAATAAGTTACCTAACACTGGCCTACCCAATCACGTACCCCTACACAACTATTCAATGAAACATGGCTTCCTTACAAAGCAGCACTAACAGTAAAAAAGAAAGGAAGAAAAGGAGGGGTCTGAAGGAATCCCAAAGAGAAGCATAAGACAAGTTAGGCTGCTGCCAATCCCACCACAGAAGTGGAAGAAAGTGCATTTTACACACACACACACACAAAGAGAGAGAGAGAGAAAGGGAGGTTGGATGGCCACATGTCCTGTATGATCTAGTTGAGATTCCTGTATAGCAGGAAGTTGAACTAAAAGAACTATGGGGTCCATTCCAACCAGGTTCCTGCAGAGCATTCTTGAGAGTGGGATGGCTCCTCCCATCTGATGGGGCAGGCAAGGTTCATGAAGATCCTCCTTGTGGGAAAGGCCATCCTGCTCTCCCTGGACAGCCCCAGAAGGTTGGGATTTCTGCTTTCTCAGCTACATAGAGGTCAGCTTTAGAGCCTTATTTTAGTTTCATTTCTCCAACTTCAACTTCCAAGCGCTCATCGTAGGAGCTGCTGCATCCTAACACGTAAAGGTCTAAGGCAATGAGCAAGCCGCAGCGGGCCACTAAGCCTGACCAGCTTGTTGGCACTTACACATGCCTGGGCGCAGACCCCTACAAGTGTCCCTATTTTTTAGGGACAGTCCCGGATTTACTGTCCTGGTTTCTTATTTGATCCTGGAATGTCTCACTTTTCCTTAGGACATCTGTATTTTCCTGGAAAAAATGTTGGGCGGGTATGGAATAAGATGTCCCTATTTTCCTGGGATAAACGCTGGAGGATAGGGAATAGGATGCCCCTATTTTCCTGGGAGAAATGGTGGAGGGTATGGAACAGGATGTCTCTATTTTCATAAGAGAAATGTTGGAGGATATGGAATAGGATGTCCCTACATGCTGGCCACATGACCCGGAAGCTGTACGCCAGCTCCCTCGGCCAATAAAGCGAGATGAGCGCCGCAACCCCAGAGTCGGTCACGACTGGACCTAATGGTCAGGGGTCCCTTTACCTTTATTTCCCTGGGAGACATGTTGGTAGGATATGAAATAGGATGTCCCTATTTTCATTGGACAAATGTTGGTGGGTATGTGGACACTGACAAAAGCCGAGATTAAAAGATGCAGTTCAGGGCATTCTGGAAGACTTTCTGCCAGCCAATCCACTCCTCCATCCCAAACGCAAGAAAGCCTAAGCAGGCAGGAAAGACTTTCGATCTGAAAGGGGGGGGGGTCCTGTCACTGCACAGCTAGTTAGTATGTATGTATGTATGTATGTGGGGGGGCTATTATGACATGACATGACACACACACACACACACACACACACACACCCCACTAACCGACATTACTCGTACTCTGCCACACACCCCTCCGGCATTTGAGGCCTCGCTCTCCGGACTCAACCGCCCTTCCCAACCCCCCCAACCCCCCGCTACGGACCTTGCAGTCGGATTTGTCCGGGTCGTCGCAGAAGTTGACGGGCGCCAGGCCGGGCAGGTAGAAGGCCGGGCCGGAGGGCGAATTAGCCACCAGGAGCGCGACGGCCAACAGCAGCTGCGCGCCAGTCATGGCGAAGGGAAGGCGGGTGGGGTGTAGGAGGGTGGGGGGGTGAGGGAGACAGAGACAACGGATACGGGGGGCGGTTTTTAATTAAAGGGAAGAGGGTACCCTCCCCCGCGCCAAAGCACGAAACCGAGCCGAGCCTCCTCAGCCGCTACTTCCGGCTTCCTCAGACACGTCAGCTCGCGCACACGGAACTGCGAGGCACGAAGTTCGTGCGTGCGCGCGAGCGAAGGAGCGAGCGGCCGAAGCGCTTCCGCCCTCTCTCTCGCCCTTCTGTCCCGGTTGCCATAGGAACGGCAAGATAAGGCGGCTCCCCCACAGGGCAGGCCTTTTGGGCCTAGCGCGGCCTGCCGCGTCCTTTGAAAATACGTCATTCGGACGGCAGGACATGTTTAATAGGCGGGCAGCCTGGTGTCCTGACGTTAAAGAGTTATCAGGCTAAGGCTGGGGAGAGACCCCGCTTCCAGTCCCCGGGAAGAGTGCTTGGGTGACTTTGGGCCAGCTGCTCTCTCAGCCCAGCCTCGCCTGCCTCGCAGGGTTGTTGTGAGAATAAGGGGAGGGCGGGGGGAAACTATGCTCATTGGCTTCACGCCTTGGTGGGATGTAAATACAGTTCGTACATGAAAACAATAATATTCGCAAGTGTCTTATATGCATACTCCTGAAATTGCTCCCAGATTAACTGACATTTTAAGCAATGGACCATTATATAGAATATGAGCAGCTAAAACAGTAACAGAACTTCTGAGAGTCCTGAGCAAAATCATCCTCAGAAGATATCTGAAGACAGCCCTGTTTAAGGAAGTTTTTAATGTTTGATGTTTTATTGTGTTTTTAATATTCTGTTGGGAGCCGCCCAGAATGGCAGGGGTATAAATAATAATAGGTGTGGTATGAATGATATCATCATCATCATCTTTATTCTGGCACTGAGATCATAGAGTTTCCATTAGGCAAGCTTGTCTGGTGATGAAATTTCAAAGACAGGAGGCCACTATTGGAAAGGCCCCGTATCGCATGTCAGCACCTGCCTTACCTTGGATAGTAAAAGGTAAAGGGAGCCCTGACCATTAGGTCCAGTCATGACCGACTCTGGGGTTGCGGCTCTCATCTCGCTTTATTGGCCAAGGGAGCCAGCGTACAGCTTCCGGGTCATGTGGCCAGCAGGACTAAGCCACTTCTGGCGAACCAGAGCAGCGCACAGAAACGCCGTTTACCTTCCTGCCAGAGCAGTACCTATTTATCTATTTGCACTTTGACGTGCTTTCAAACTGCTAGGTAGGCAGGAGCAGGGACCAAGCAACAGGAGCTCACCCCGTCGCGGGGATTCGAACCGCCGACCTTCTGATCAGCAAGTCCTAGGCTCTGTGGTTTAACCCACAGCGCCACCTGCATCCTGGATAGTAGTGGCATGCAAAAAAACTACCCTGAGGACCAGACCAATTTATGTGGTTACAAGTCCTTGAGGCACACTGGTCCTAAGCCATATGAGATTTTGTTTTGCTTTTGTTAATTTAAAGCATTTCAGAACCACTCAGGAACATAGAAAGTTAATTTATACTCAGTCAGTACCAACAGTTCATCTAGATTGAAAAGCTGCCTATGAGCTTATACACTTGCTTCAAGACTTCTTCCAAGAAACAAAACACAGTTTTCTGTGTTCTGACGTCTAAGGATCACAGCAAACAAAGCTGTAATCGTCAGGTCGCTTACTAGGAACATAGGAAAGACCATTATAGTCAGACCATCCGTCTATCTAGCTTAGTATTGTTTTCACAGACTAGAAGTGGGACTTCAGGGTTTCAAGCAGCAGACATTTCCAGCCCTACCTGGATAAGTCAAGGATAGAAGTTAGGACCTTTTGCATGCAAAGCAGGTGCTCTACCACTGAACTATAGCCCTTCTCTACTCACTTACTTCTGAGTACATATGCTTAGAATTCCACAATTAGAATATTTGTACAACTGCAAAGACCAGTCTATATACACCAAGAATGGGGAAAATGTGGTCCTTCATATGCTGGACTCCATGCTAGATGGACCAATGATCTGAATTATTAAGGTAACTTCCTACATCTCATTCTTGCTTAATAACTGCTTTATTGAATCAGGCCAAGGTCCACTTTGTCTAGCATAATTTGCAAAAATCTAACAAACAGGCACTCAGTTTCTACCAGAAATTAGCCAACATATGGAGCCAGGTCTGCCTATTACAATACCATCCAGGAAATGCAGGAGGAAGGGTTTTTTTTTTAAGACAATAAACTGAAATTACGAAGTACATATGGGCCAAACAATTTTTATGTGTCAATACATTTCATATATTTTTACAGCCGGAAGTTATAAAAACACAATAAGCCAGGTGTTGAAATACATATTCAGCATGGTTTTGATGCTTTTGCTTTGCACAGCATACAAGTACTTCACATAAAATAGCAGAAGACCAGTAGCTTTACAGTAAACTGTATAATATTTTTACTTGTAGAAAAGGGAGGCAGTTTCTGGACATTAGATATTGGTATCCATCTCCACCGTCGGCATCACTGCAGAATGTTGTTTCCTACTTCTGCTCAAAAACAAAAGAAGGAAACGCACAATTATGACAAGTTATGGAGAAACTGAAAAAAGCAACAAAAATTAAACACACCATTGCTTGGATCATGTTTAACTACCATATAGCCAAGCCCATCCCAACATCTAGTAAAATAATCAAGCCCATCCCTAAGAAAGCAATGGTATTCTTCAACAAAACAAGTCCTTCTGGTTTTATGTGGGTAAACTAAGCTGATACGTAGGATGAGGCTCAAAAAGCAAGAACAGAAGAACTAATCTATTCCTCTAAGTATTGACAAATTATGTATGAGTCAAATCTCCCTACCTAATTAATTAAATAAATAAATCAAGCTCTCAACCCAGGTGTATATGGGGAAAAATGAAAGTGATTAAATAGATTCCTTTGCAGTGGGAAAAACCCACTATCTACTGTACTGTTGCTGGTGTTATGAGTTTCTGGAGTGCCTGGACTCAACTTCTAATTCTTAGGTGCAAGCACTGGATTTAGCAAAGTGTTAAAACACAGGTGAAACCAATTTCCCGTGTTCAGGAGATCGCCTGAGAGATGGGCCATTAACAGAGAACAAAGACAGTGAGGTGGGATATCAGCAAAGCAAAGACTCTGTTCCGGCCAGCAAATGAGGGAAGCCCATGTCTGAGCTCTGAGATAGAAGAGCCAACGCATGGTGGAAAGTTTAGGATTGCAATTTGGGAATGATGTGAGCTGGAGAGAAAAAAGCCAGTAAAAATTCGGCAAGCTGTGGAGTGTCAGAGCCATGACTGATGTCTTTTTGAATCCCAGGCTGCAGCAATGGGAGAAAAGGGGCCCCCTTGGAGTGTTAATGCTGTGAGCCCCTCCATCACAGGCTCAGGTTGTAGACATGAGCAATAGATAGATAGATAGATAGATAGATAGATAGATAGATAGTAAAGACACCACAATCTCTGCTGTGCCTCATTTCCAAAGGAAACACAAACCCTAGGTTTGTGTCAGGAACCCCTGAGAATCTTGCACATCTTGAAGAGTAGGGTGGTGTGTAACATAATATGCAGTCTCTTTATTCTTTTTCACCAAGTTATTTCAAACCACAGTTGTCTCTTAAGTTTTCATGCTGTTTTTAACACATTTTAAATTACTTATTATGAACACAAACATTAGAATACTGATAAATCTCTCCTCCTCCTCAGGGCTTCTTTTGCCCTTTCCCTCCTTGACTATGAGCTCTTCTCCTAGCATGCTTCCACTTCTTGATCTCCTTGTTTGATCAGCCTCTCTCAATCTTAAAATAGGGGGGGGGGGGTTTGTAAGAGCTGAAGATAGTACAGTGGTACCTCGGGTTACATACGCTTCAGGTTACAGACTCCACTAACCCAGAAATAGTGCTTCAGGTTAAGAACTTTGCTTCAGGATGAGAACAGAAATTGTGCTCCGGCGGCGCGGCAGCAGCAGGAGGCCCCATTAGCTAAAGTGGTGCTTCAGGTTAAGAACAGTTTCAGGTTAAAAACGGACCCCCGAACGAATTAAGTACTTAACCCGAGGTACCACTGTATGATGCAGCATTGTTCATGGTATGCACACATCCTGCTACTGTCTCTCTTAACAGGGTTCACAAGGTTTTATAGTATTTCACACAGCGCATGCAAAACCTTGCAGCCTCTCCCTATCCTCCAGCATCTGCTGCCAATGGTAGGGCCGGGCTTACATATACTTTGGCATTCTAACTAGCCTATCTAAATTCTCCCCCATAAACCTCTGGCTTTCTTTCTTTCTTATTAATAGCCCCATGCACACAATCACCTCTTAGCCTAGAAATAAGTCCAGACTGGGTGGGTGGAGAAATAGATTGCACAGGGAAAGGATGGATAAGTATCTACATGGTATCTCTCTTTCCTATAAATCTCATGTTTGGAAACACACCTTTCCTGAGCTAATGTGTTGTTTGTGCACTAGACAGCAAGAACATGAGTTTCCGAGGCATTTAGCCTAACAAGAGAGGTGCTTTTTGCAATAGATGCTAAGAAGGGGTGCAATAAAATGGGCTGCAGCAAATGCTTTTAAAATGAGCTAGAACAGATGAATTTGTCCTCAGTTTCCCAACCACTTAAGCAGCTGGCTGGATGCCTTGATTGAGCTCTCAAAAGTATTGTATCGGGAGCAATTAGGTAATTGAGAGGTGGAAAGGTACCAGGAACAGATGGCCTTCCTATTGATATTTTCTGATAAATTGTTCCAGTCATCACCACCCCCTTCTCCCTGGCTTTGAAAATGTGTGGCCATTTTGTCCAAAATATTATCGACTATGGAATAAGCACAATTCTCATAACAATTTCCTAACTGCATCCTGAATCTAGATGTTAAGAATGATATAAACGCTATCCCAGAAGGCTGGAAAGTATCTTCATTTTAAATTATTGTACTTGTCTCCATTCAGTACAATAACTGTGTACCAAATATGCCCTAAAGATTTTCCATATCTAAAACAGTGGTTGGATTTTAATTTTCTATAGTCTCACCATAGCTTTCTGAGATTATAAAAAAACAATTTACTTGGATCCTTAAGTGGTTTTTAAAATAATTACTCTTGTTACATCAAACAAGGTTAAGAGGCTGGTGTACTGGGCCCTGGCAGCTGCCTGAGGATGGCTCCCGCTGACACGGAGGCCTCATCTGAGCCGTGTAATATCAGTGAAATTTACAGAATACATGGCAGCGACTTTTGTGAGATATCCCTGTTTGCAGAAGTTGCTACTGCGTCTTCTGCAAGTACTCGTCTCACATTATACTGTTGGGATTGTAAGTAGGCTACAGGGTAGTACTGCTGGTGGTGAATAATTGATCTGGGAACCAGACTCTTATTTCCTTTCCTTGGGAGTTTTTTTTCTGAATGGCGCTCCAGCTAGCAGTGGTGGCTAGCGATCCTTGGATGAGATGGGTCTTCATCTTCCTCCCTTGCGCAAAAATAGTAGGTTTTTAACCATTGCCGTTTAGGGACGCGGGTGGCGCTGTGGGTTAAACCACAGAGCCTAGGACTTGCCAATCAGAAGGTTGGCGGTTTGAATCCCTGCGACGGGGTGAGCTCCTGTTGCTCGGTCCCTGCTCCTGCCAACCTAGCAGTTTGAAAGCACGTCAAAGTGCAAGTAGATAAATAGGTACCGCTCTGGCAGGAAGGTAAACGGCGTTTCTGTGCACTGCTCTGGTTCGCCAGAAGCGGCTTAGTCATGCTGGCCATGTGACCTGGAAGCTGTACGCCGGCTCCCTCAGCCAATAAAGCGAGATGAGCACCGCAACCCCAGAGTCGGTCACAACTGGACCTAATGGTCAGGGGTCCCTTTACCTATTAAGCATTGCCATTGTATCTTTCTCCACAGCAGTATTTTATTTGTCAACAGTGTGTACTTCTAGAGGTAATATAGTCTGCTATCCTATATGCGAAGGGTGGGAAACATTTAGCCCCCTTGATGTTGTTGTTGTTAATTGAATTTATATTCCGCCCTATACACGGGGGTCACAGAATAAAATCAAGATATAAAACCATAAAACACCTAATAAAAACAAAAACAACTACAATTCACATCAGCTCCAGCAAGCATGGCAAATGGCAATGGATAATAGGAGTTGTAGTTGAGGGCCAAAAATCACTCACACGCTGTGCTATGCACACGTACCCATTGAAGAGAAAATGCATATATCAGAAGTAAAACACTAGAAAATGTTTTATCCCTTCTCCTGCAATTAGAAATATAGTCTTTAGTTCTGTGCATTGATTGCAACCAAGTATAAAAAGTTATCCATGGAAATTTAAAGTCTATCCAATCAGTTTAACACGCAATTCCCTCACCCCGCCATTGTTTCGACATGTCCAGAAAAGCACAAGCCTTTTAAATTCTGCGTCTGACGGTGCATTCCAGTCAGTGGTAGAACTTGATCTGCAAGGTTTAAGGCAGAAGGTGGAAGACTTGGGAGACAAGGTTTCAAGTCCCCCACGAAACATGGTGAGGCAGTCGCCTTAGGCAGCAGGCTGGGGCTGCTGGGAGGAGCAGCAGATCTGAGCCCCCAAGGAATTCGCCACCTGCTGCCTCCTGCCCTTGTCCCCTATTCCCCCTCCACCTCCGCCACAGACACACACCTCCACCTGCTCCTCTCTGGCCTTTCTTCTCCCCTTTTCTCTGGGGCATCTCCAGGCCACTTCCAGTCAAGTCAGGTGTGGTGGCAGCATAAGGGAGGGGGGACAATGATGCATTTTCTATTTTGCCTCAAGCGACAAAACGTCCTGGGCCAGCCCTGCTCAGAGGATTGTTGTGAGGATAACATGGGGAAGAGGAGAACTACGAATGCCACCTTGAGTTCCTTGTAGGAAAAGTGGGATATAAATGCAATAATAAATGAATAGGAATATTAATAAGAAGCCTATCCCCCAGCCTCTTAAAAAGCAGAGACATCACCTTGCCGACAAAGGTCCGTATACTTAAAGCTATGGTTTTCCCGGTAGTGATGTATGGAAGTGAGAGCTGGACCATAAAGAAGGCTGATCGCCGAAGAATTGATGCTTTTGAATTATGGTGCTGGAGGAGACTCTTGAGACTGCAAGAAGATCAAACCTCTCCATTCTTAAGGAAATCAGCCCTGAGTGCTCACTGGAAGGACAGATCGTGAAGCTGAGGCTCCAATACTTTGGCCACCTCATGAGAAGAGAAGACTCCCTGGAAGAGACCCTGATGATGGGAAAGATGGAGGGCACAAGGAGAAGGGGACGACAGAGGACGAAATGGTTGGACAGTGTTTTCGAAGCTACCAGCATGAGTTTGACCAAACTGCGGGAGGCAGTGGAAGACAGGAGTGCCTGGCGTGCTCTGGTGCAGGGGGTCACGAAGAGTCGGACACGACTAAACAACAAAAAATCCCCCAGCTTGCCTTGATGTAAGGATTAGAGAGCTATGGGATACTCATCAAACTCAGAACACTTATTTTAATAAAACTTTCAGATTAATTGACAGAGGTTCATATTTGTAAATTAGTATCCGACCTGTAGAACTTTGAAAAAAGATTAAATTGATTTACTGCTTTCTGCTTTTTTTCTGTCTTTCTGTTTGCCCTGGTTCACGGCAGTGTGCCAAAACAAACACTGAGCTATCAGACATCAGCTTGGTGCCTTCTTCAGCTCAGCAAGCCCTAAGGCTGACCCTAATAATGAATCTGCTTTTTAATAATCGTATCTTTCCCTTTCCAGTAGATGTAACTGGCCATTCAACACTGCACACCTGGCAGTATGGATAAAAGAGCAAGTCATCTACCTTCATTGTAAATTACTGTGATGGGAGAAAGAATGAATCACCCTTCTTATTTTGATGGCCATTTCTGTGGTTCACTGAACAGCTGCCCTGAGATTTTGTCCTCTTGTAATTAATTAATTGTTCTGGACTGGTATTCCATTTCATTCCAATACAGATTTATAAATCATTTGCTGTTAGAAAGTGGCCCTCTTAAAAGTGTGACTTCTGCACACACCCACACTCCATTTTGAAGAGAGAAAATTAAAATATAGAGCCATTTCCCCTGCTCCCTTATTTAAGAAAACCTGGATAAGCATCACGCAGGGGAAATCATAAATGCCTGCCATTAGAGACAAAGCAAGAAATGGATTTATGAAAGTATGACGGAGCCTCCTGCCATGAGCACTGATCAGGAAAGCTCTGATGTGCATTATGTTTTCAGTTTGTAAATTAAGTATACTTAACATTTATAGACTCTGACTGCACATGAGACCATTTTATGATTCTTAAGGTGGAATGGTTCCTTGCTCTCCCTCCTGCACTGCTCTGATAAACCAAAACACATTTCTAATAAACAGGCAGAGAGATTAAAAATAAAGCCACTACTTTTTTTTGTAAGGTGCGCTCCAGACTCATTATAAAAGTTTATCACCTAAGTAAAGCTGCACTCTTAAAACATTTAAAACCTGCTATGTAAGAGAAGCAATAATTCTGCCCTGACATGTCTTGCCCGTGGTATCAGTCTGTGATGTACACTAAGAGCTTTATTTTAAGGAAATCAGCACATAAAAAGTGCATTTCAGAGAACTTCAGACTGAAACACAAAACAAACAGCCCATGGGGATGTATACCCATTTAAAAGGCTCAGTGCCTATATGGGCTACAGCCCTGCATGCAGTTAAAACCTCTTATATCCTGTTTATTTCAGTGCAGTTTATAATACAATCCTTTACAGAATTGCCTGGGAGTACGTTTTGCTCAGTTTGTAGGGACTTTCTTCCGAGCGGACATGTATAGACTCATACTATTGAGCAACCAATCTTAGTCTATGCACCACAGCTATTGACTTTGTATTGAATTTATGCCCAACAGATCATGTATACTCCATCTCTTTGCTAGAGACAACCCCCCCTTTTTCTGGCACTAGCCCTTAGTAAAATAATGTGCCTATTTTGCAGAAATAGCAGAGGTGCCTTTTTAAAATGCCATATATACTGTGTACCTGTATGTTGCTACCATTTTGAGTTAATAGCAGCTGAGGGAATGACAGGATAACAATGCATATGAGGAAAGCAATACAGGGAACAGTTAGCACCCACCCACACGAATTTCCACCCAGGTTTTCTAGAAAAAGAGCACTGTTACTATAGTTCAACTTATTTTTGCCTAAAGGTCACACAGTAAATTCATGCATAAGATGACTTTTGGGTTTTCCTAGTTCATATTCTCTTATCGGTTGCACCACAGTCTCAGCCTCCAGCCTCATCAGCAAGGGAAAGTACACAGCCTGCTTGCCTCAGAGGGGTTTTCCACAAAAGCAGTGTGGCAGGAGGAGGGCTATTCCCACAGAGCAGCTTCTCGTGAACATAGTCAGCCACAGCAGTGAGACAGCACAACAGAGAGGATGAATGACGCCAGGGTTGTGAAAAGCAGCACAAGAGCTTGTTTAAGAATTGCTCTCTATAGCCTTTGAGGAAAACGATGCTATGAGAGCGCATGAGGCCAGGGAACGTTGGGTCTTTGGGGGAGAATGTTTTAAGAGAGAGAGAGCAAAGTAATGTCTGTGTGTGAATGTCCCGGGAAGAGAGAGAGGGAAAGGGAAAGAGTTAAGAGATGCTTTTCCCCCCCTTATGCATCCACAGAGGCTAACGTTTTAACAAAAATGTTAATAGGCAATAATCAATAGGATGAAACTTTTCCTCGCTGGGGAAAGCTGCCTCTGTTGCTTTCTGTGAGCTGCACTAGATACTGTCTCGGTAGACATGTGGCTTTTTAACACTTAGGAAGCAGCTAACAGTTTCTAAGTGCTGCACAGACATTAAAAGACAAGACAGTCAGGTGCTGTGCTCTTTGTGGTGCTTAGTTAAACTTGTAAGAAGTTCCTCAGGAGACTTAGTTAATCCTACACCATGTGCGAACAATTTTTGGGAACTTGGAAGCTTGTTTCCACTGAAAAATTTGATGACTATATGAAAGAACTTGGTGTGGGCTTTGCCACCAGGAAGGTGGCTGGTGTTGCCAAGCCCAATGTGATCATCAGTTGCAAAGGAGATGTTATAACCATCAAAACAGAGAGCATTTTAAAGAACACTGAGATTTCCTTCAAACTGGGGGAACAGTTTGATGAGACCACAGCAGATGACAGGAAAGTAAAGAGTGTTGTGACATTAGACAATGGGTCGCTCAGTCAGTTGCAGAAATGGGATGGAAAAGAGACCACAATAAAAAGAAAAACAGAAGATGGAAAGCTGGTTGTGGAGTGTGAAATGAACAATGTTATCTGCACCAGAGTGTATGAGAAAGCATGAAGATAGACTCCTTCCCCTGTGTGGTTAGTAGGACAGTTAGCCGGTTCTGGATGCAGGGCCCCACAAGGCAGTTGCTTTCTCCAAAGAACTGATATGTTATTGATAGAACCGTTCCAAAGAACCTGCATACAGTATTCAACCTAAAAGTATGGTGACTATTCAATAAAGTGCTTAATGATAAATATAAAAAAGACAAGACAGTCCCTGCCGCCCCCTGCCCACAGGCTCATCATTTAATACAAAGTGGGGGATGCAATGCAGAAGGAAAATAAAAACAAACCCAGGAGCAGCTCCACCTTCACATTGGTCTCCTGCTTGCCATATGATGCAGTTCCTCAGTCTCCGAGGGTAACTTGCAGTCCATTGCTATTTACTCCAATTCAGTGGTAAAATGTGGGGTTTCCCACGGAAAGCATTAGGGGAAGAAAACAAAAAACCTGCTTGGACACAGAGCTTTAACATGCAGCCCTGTGCCAAAGTAACGTAGGAGAGGGGGCCCTGGAATTGGTTGATTTCCGTGAGGCTCACTCCTCCTTCCTTGGGCTTGTCCTCTGCCTGCAAGCCAAATTCTGTATAGCAAATTCCTCCACCACTTCACCGCAATACAGTATCTGTAAAATACACAGCACCGTTCTCACCAGCAGCCTCTGAATATCTGGGAGTGGAGGGCAAGGTTTCCTAGGCAGATTAAAGCCCCAGCACCTCTTTTTCTTATACAAATTATCCCTGGAATTGTGTCTGTAGACATATGGCGCAGTGAGTCAGTGCATCTAGCTGTTAATAACTAGGAGGTTGTTGGTTCGAGCCCACCTAGGGACAGCTATGGGCAGGATTCCTGTGTTGTTAGATGATGACTAGATGATCCTCACGGTCTCTTCCAACTCTACAATTCTATGATTTAGCCATTAAATTCAGAAGACTGCTCACTGAAAGACTGGAGCCATACTCCACCAACCAATGGGAAAAAGAAGCCACGAGACGAGTTATCTAAGAATTAGAAGCTATATTTAGTTCCTCTCTTTATTTCTTCTAAGGCAGGGCTGAGTCACACCACATTGGGCTTGTGCTGATTTAAGGGCTTTCTGTATCCAAGGCGTAGTTTGTACACAAGCCTGTAATGAGCTTCATGTGATTTCTTCTGTTTATGTCCGGACTGTGGAGCTCCCTGGGTAACCTTGGGGCAGTCACTAGCTCAAAGGCGCCTGATGTCATACGCCGGAGTTGTGAAGAAGAAAAATGCTGTGTGCGTATATGAAACAATACACTACCCTGAGCTCTTTGGGATAAAAATGCAAATCAATCTATCAATCTCAACTTTCCAGTAGGTACTCACATTTAACTATTCCACTCCCAGCCACCCTTTGGGGGCCCCTGTAAAAAATTGTTGGCATGCATTGAAAGAAAACAACACCTAGGATCTATGAAGTTATAACTATTTTAATGCATGTAGATAATCAAATGCCATTCTCTCCACAGGTCCTTAAGTTATCCATAGTTGTCCTCAAGGTAAATGAAAAGGTAGCAAGCTTCTCTTGTGCTGCTGTAGGAATTTGTGAAATGCTGACCTCTAGTGGCATTGAAGGAAATTTGATGTGTTGGTCTCTGGCTTTATACTGAATTGTAGGCAACGTAGTGGATATTAGTGTATGGTTTGCCATTTATTATGCTTTCAAATATGGGGGCAAGGGCTTTTCTTCCCACCCCCAGCATTTTGAAAACCCCGGGACAGCGGAGGACTTCTCCGCTGTCCGGGCGATCTTAAAATGCTGGCGGGCGGCATTTTAAAATCACCCCGGGACAGCGGAGGACTTCTCCGCTGTCCGGGGCAATTTAAAGCCCCTGGGAAGGCAGGCAGGGGGACAAAGACTTTGCCCCGCCAGCCTTCAGAAGAGGTCCTGGACCTCTTCTGAAGGCGGGCGGGGCGAAGTCTTGCTCCCCCGCCTTCAAAGCCCTCCGGGACAGGCAGGCAGGGGGAGCAAAGACTTTCGCCCCCGCCCGCCTTCAGAAGGTCTTCCCTCCCCCCCGCCCGGCTTCGGAGCACCGCTCCGAGCCGGGCGGCGGCGGGAGGTCTTCCTCCCCCCGCCCGGCTTCGGAGCACCGTCCCGAGCCGGGCGGCGGCGGAGGTGTTCCCTCCCCCGCCCGGCTCGGAGCACCGCTCCGGCCGGGCGGCGGGGAGGTCTTCCTTTTAAGGACTTGTTATATGCTGAATAGGGACGCAGGTGGCGCTGTGGGTTAAACCACAGAGCCTAGGACTTGCCGTTCAGAAGGTCGGCGGTTTGAATCCCCGTGACGGGGTGAGCGCCCGTTGCTCGGTCCCTGCTCCTGCCCACCTAGCAGTTCGAAAGCACATCAAAGTGCAAGTAGATAAATAGATACCGCTCCAGCGGGAAGGTAAACAGCATTTCTGTGTGCTGCTCTGGTTCACCAGAAGCGGCTTAGTCACGCTGGCCACGTGACCCGGAAGCTGTACGCCGGCTCCCTCAGCCATTAAAGCGAGATGAGCGCCGCAACCCCAGAGTCGGCCAAGACTGGACCTAATGATCAGGGGTCCCTTTACCTTTACCTATATGCTGAATGGTGGATAAAATCACTTGCATCCTATTGACTCTGCTGTTATGGCAGCTGAATCTCAAGGGCTGTCCACAGCATTTTCTAGTCCTGTTGTGTTGGATGAGTTTCAGTTGGTAAGGCTCAATGATGAAGGTTCTTGGTCTGGTCAGGGTGACTACTTGTGCTCTGGACCCTTGCCCCTCTTGGCTGATAAAAATTAGCAGGGAGGGGACAGTTGGCTGGGCCAGGGAGGTGATTAATGCCTCCTTGCGAGGAGGAGTGGTCCCTGCCTGCTTAAAGGAGGCAGTGGTAAAACCACTCAAGAAACCCTTCCTGGATTTGGAAAATCTAAGTAACTGTCTCCCTTTCTTGGACAAGATTCTATCACTGTGCCATTGAGAGCGTGCTTACTTATGGCTTATGTGTGTGGTACGGAAGCTGTACTACCCAGGACAGGATGGGGTTGTGCAGGGTTGTTAAGGCAGCAGAGAGCATTGTTGGCTGCCCACTCTCCACCTTAGAGCAGATTTATGCCACAAGGTGCCATAGGAAGGCACTGGACATAGTAAAAGATCCATCGCATCCTGGTCACTGTCTCTTCGAGCTCTTGCCGTCGGGACGGAGATACAGGACGATGAAGACAAGAACGAGCCGTCTTAAGAACAGCTTCTTCTCCAGAGCGATCTCGGCCCTGAATGGGAAGCCCGGACTTTGAAAGTCATCTAATCTCCCTTGCTGTATTATACTGTATTGTTTAATTAGTGTTTTTATGGAGCAGTCAAGTAATTTTGTTGTCCCCGAAGGGGGCAATGACAATAAAGATATTATTATTATTATTATTATTATTATTATTATTATTATTATTGTTATTCTTGAGTGGGTAGTCATGGACAAGATCTAGGCTCTCTTGTAGGAAACTGGTTTTCTATATCTATTTCAATTGGGGTTTCGGCACAGAAACTGTTTTGGTCACGTTGTAGGATGACCTCTGTCCGGGAGAGAGACAGGGGAAATGTGTCCTTGTTAATTCTCAGTGGCTTTTGATACCATGGTATCCTTCTGGAGCGACTGTCCGAGTAAGGGATGGGTGGCATTGCTTTGTGGTGGTTCCGGTCCTACTTGGGACAGTCGTTTTTAGAGACGATGCTTTGGGGGTGCTCTTGGGCCCTGTACAGCCTTCAATGTGGGGTTCCTCAGGGTCTGATTTTATCCCTCATGCTGTTTGACATCTACATGAAAGCTCCAAGTAGGGTCATCCAAAGTTTTGGAGTACAGTGGTACCTCAGGTTACAGACTCCGCTAACCCAGAAATAGTACCTCGGGTTAAGAACTTTGCTTCGGGATGAGAACAGACATCGAGCAGCGGTGGCACAGCGGCAGCAGGAGGCCCCATTAGCTAAAGTGGTGTTTCAGGTTAAGAACAGACCTCCAGAACGAAGTAAGTTCTTAACCCGAGATACCACTGAACGTTGTCAGCAATATGCTGGACACACAGCCCTACTTTTCCTTTACATCTACAGGTTTGGCGGTGGAAGTTTTGGACAATTGTCTTGCCTTAGTAAAAGACTGGATGAGAGCAAATAAACTGAAGCTCAATCGAGATGAGCCTGAGACATTGTTGGTGGGCGGTTCCCCAGACTGAACAGATAGGAAATGGCCTGCTCTTGATGGGGTTACACAGCCTCTGAAGGAGCAGGTACACAGCTTGCAGGGGGGGTTCATTGCTGTTGCTGGAGACTCAGTGGTGTTCCATCAGTTTTGGGTGGTGGCCCAGCTTTGCCCCTATCTGGACAGGAATAGCCTAATTTCTGTCATCTATGCTCTGGTAACCTCTAGATTAGATTACTGCAATGTGTTAAGACATGGGGCTACCTCTGATGACAGTTTGTAAACTGCAGCTGGTGCAGAATTCAGCAGCCAGTAATCGACTATAGAATAAAAGAAATAAATAAATAAACTAGAATTAAACAAAGACTTTACGAGATGCCGGCTACAAAACTCGTTTCACTGAACTAATCAGTTTCCTCAGAAGGAAATAAAGGAATTATAAGATTTTAAGTGATCTCAAACAAGCTCAAGAGCAGGGCTGAAAATGCTTCCTCGAGTTTACAAAAAAGGTATGAAAACCTCAGTGACAAGTTTTAAACATAGCCCTATTTAAGAGAATCCAGCAGTAGTGATAAGAAATTGAGGTTTTAAAGTTTCAAACAAACTCAAAAAAACAGAGCAGAAACCCAAAAAAGTTTTAAACATAGCCCTATTTAAGAGAACCAAGCAGTAGTAATAAGAAATTGAGGTTTGAAGTTTCAAACAAACTCAAAAACTTTGACCTATGAAGCCTTAAATGGACCGCAATACTCAAGAACCGCCCCTCCCCATATAAACCACCCTGGACCCTGCATTCATCATCTGAGCCCATTTTTCATATGCCTCCTCCACGAGAGGTCCGGAGGGTGGCAACACGAGAACAGGGCCTCTTCTGTGGTGGCTCCTCGCTTGTGGAATGCTCTTCCTAGGGTGGCTTGCGTAGCACCTTTGCTACATATCTTTAGGCACCACCCCTCTTTCCCCAGGTCTTAAACAATCTATGGCCTTTTAAACTGTGTGTGGTTTTATTATGATACGTATTTTTGTATTTCTATGCCTGTGCTGCTTGGATGAAGGGTGGTAGTAAAGGTAAAGGGACCCTTGACTATTAGGTCCAGTCTGGGGTTGCGGCGCTCATCTCACTTTATTGGCCGAGGGAGCCAGCGTACAGCTTCCGAGTCATGTGGCCAGCATGACTAAGCCGCTTCTGGCGAACCAGAACTAAGCCGCTTCTGGCGAACCAGAACTAAGCCGCTTCTGGCGAACCAGAGCAGCGCACGGAAATGCCGTTTACCTTCCCGCTGGAGCGGTACCTATTTATCTACTTGCACTTGACGTGCTTTCGAACTGCTAGGTTGGCAGGAGCAGGAACCGAGCAACGGGAGCTCACCCCGTCGCAGGGATTTGAACCACCGACCTTCTGATCAGCAAGTCCTAGGCTCTGTGGTTTAACCCACAGCGCGTCCTGGGTGGTATATTAATTTAATAAATAAAAACAATAATTATTAGACCAAGCTATGGGAGGGGAGGTTTGGATGAGCTGGGAGGAAATAACAAGGGCGGCAGCGGGGGGGGGGGGGGTTTGAAGTGTAAAGACAGGTTTGTCAAGTGTCAAGGGGGGAGGGGTTGGGGGAAGGGGTTTGGCAAAGGAATACATACTGTATACATACATATGTGTGCACACACAGCAAGTTTGTATTAGGAAGTGCTTCAGTCTTACTACACATTGGGTTGGTAGGATTTCATGCCAGATTTTTTCTCTCTACTTTTTTGGGGGGGGGGGAAGTCTTACTTTGTTAGTACACTGTAATATTGGGGGAAACTCACAACTTTTAAAGTACCGTACTTTCCTGTTACTCTGTCATTCTTGTATTTTTTTTAAAAAGCAACAATGACTATTTAAGAAAAAAACTCCAATATCATTTACTTACAATATCATTCATTCCAACACTTTCTGTCTCAGATCTAGTCCTCAAACACAGTATTTCCCACACCTCCTCATCCTTCAGTCATATATTCTGTACCATCTTAGAACCAGCCTTCCATCCTACTTCTTATTTCTTTCACTCTCACACACCTCTTAGTGGCAGTCTTGGAGTGAGCGTTACATTTTGAAAAATAAAACAGGATTCTATGCTGTTATTGCAATGTGAGTTCTTTATGAAATGTTTTGTGCTGATGACAGACCAACGTAGCCAAGTGCATGTAAGAATAAGCTCACAGACGAATCAACACAAGGAGAACTTTGACAATCACCATTAGTTAACTCAAACAATATTCTTCCATGGAGTCTGTTCACATTTTCAGCCGTGAGTCTCTAAAATGTACTCTTCATTTTGTGGAATCTCCTGTTGGTACTGCAGTATACATCGTCTCCTTGTGTAATCTTGTTTTCTCATCACTGGTAGTTTATTTAATTTGAATTTAAAAATTAAAGAAACTTAACTGGTGAGAAGACGGGATTCTTTTTCCATTTACAGCCAGATTGCTCCTATATATAGATAATGGGTTATAAACTTATAGCAGCCGGCAGCTGATTGGCTCCCATCAGTAATACAACTAAAGGCATGAGATCTTCTCATACATGCTCAACGTTCTGTGCTTCACTACTAAACCCTATGAAGATGTGGCCTGGGAAAATAAATACCGTAGGTTGCTCCCTGAGACATGCCTAGTTAAATTAGCCAACTTATCCATTTTCTTCCTTGGTTTGTACTGGAAATAATGTTTACATATTAGATACGTATGTATGAACAGGTGATTTGGGCATATGCTTCTAAGTAAACCAAACACAAGTATCTCTGAAAATGCTCAGCAGCTCAGATGATGGGTGAGGAAGAGTTCTATCCAGAAGCATAATTCAGACATCAACAGTAGCTTTGCAATTCGGATGTGTGCCATTGTGGGTCTAGATGAGTCTTCTGCTGCTTTGGCATTTTCCACTTTTGCTCGTGGCCCCATAAATTAGCAATGGAAAAGGCAACCCTAGGGATTTCTGCCTCGTGGAAAAAGGGCAAATTAAAATTTCTGCATCAGACCCAGTTTTGAGACTCAAGACAAAGAAAGAAAATTGCTAAATGTTTACTGCACCCATTAATGACAATTTGAAAAACACATGAAATCCTACTTGTAATGTCCTGTGACCCAATATTTTCATTCATTAATGCATTCATCTACCACCTTTTAATACAAGCATTTCCCAGGTGGTTCATAGGATTCAAACTTGCCCAACTGTATCCCGATTCCAGGCCAAAAGCAAGCAGAGATCAGTGGCCTCACAGTCTGCATTATCCCTTTGTCCTTCAGCCTCACTCCAGGTAGCTGGGACTTCCCAAATGGCTCTGTCACTTGCTCAGGTGAGTAGTCCTACTTGCCGAGAGAGTGATTTGGGAGGGCTGTAATTTTCCCCTTTCAATGGACTTCTGGTCCAGCCTAGCAATACATTAATATGGTATTCCTGATAAGTGGAAACAAGTAAGTACCTGCTGTTCAGTATGAAATTCTTACACAGAAATCTGTGGCTGGCTCAGAAGATGGCTACTCTATAAAGGTACAATTCACTATTCCTGATTTGGCAAAACTAAACCTCCTGTGAACAGTGTACAGTTACTTCAACTATATATGATTGTAGATGTATGTGATCACCATGCTTTTAAACGCTTTTCCCTTGTTGTTTTTCATTAAGCATAAATTTCACAGTTATGGAATTTTAATGTGTGTGGTAAGTTAAATGAAAAATATGAAACATTTCTTTGTTTTATTGCAGTCTCTATTTTTCTTCTTCCCAGAAAGAAAACCAGCTCTAGAAAATCTGTGTACAATCTTTTCCTCACTCCCGCAGCAAGTGAGCAATATTATAGATCAGATTTGATTTGATTTCTGCTCATTCAGAAAGAGAATGTAAGCAAATGTGGGTTAAACTGGAAACAAATGGTTAAAGAAATGAAACATTGCTTTTTGTTCTTATTGCTTATTCTTCTTTGGTAACTGAAAAATCTTCAAATAAAATAATAAAAACATTTTAATCAAGAAATCCCTATACAGTGGTGCCCCGCAAGACGAATGCCTCGCAAGACGGAAAACCCGCTAGACGAAAGGGTTTTCCGTTTTTGAGTTGCTTCGCAGGACGAATTTCCCTATGGGCTTGCTTCGCAAGACGAAAATGTCTTGCGAGTCTTGAGATTTTTTTCGCTTTTCCCCTTTATCTAAGCCGCTAAGCCTTTAATAGCCTTTTAGCAGCTAATCCGATAAGCCGATAAGCCTTTAATAGCCGCTAAACCGCTAATAGCGCTAATCCGTTAAGCCGCTAATAGGGTTGCTTCGCAAGACGAAAAAACCGCTAGACGAAGACTCTCGCGGAACGGATTAATTTCGTCTTGCGAGGCACCACTGTAGTGGTCCGTTAAAACCAATTGCCGTACGATAAATTACAAGTAAGATTGTTGAGGGTGTTTTCTGAACAGTTGATTTTTTTCCCTCCCTTGCTTTTACAAATGTTACTTTTGCTATAAATCTTTTTCAGCAAAACCACACCCTAAAAAGTGTGATCCTGAAATTAGATATGCCATAACTACACAGGAGACTGCAAGCAGCAGTCATTGAAACCTGAAAGATCACCAAGATAACGATGTACAGTCGACAAACCGCAGTATCTGAAAAACAAGAGAAACACCATGCAGGCGTATTTGAAAGGAGGGGGCACAGGCATTCTTTGCTGCTGCTTTCACAGTTTTCATTCTATGCTAACAATTGTAATATCCATATTTTTGCTTAACTGTGACTGTGACTGGGATACAGAAGGCTTTAATTGGTTAAAAGGCTACCCAGAAATATTAATAAATTATGGCTCAAAGTTCTGCATCCAACCCTGATATGATGTGGCTATTATAGGCATTTTTTAAATTATTATTTCAAGAAGATTTGAGAAGGGAAGCAGCATTAGTCACTGTGGCATTCAAACAAATTTATTATGGCATAAGCTAGTCTTCAAGGTGGCACGGAACCTTAAAGTCAACAATTTAAAAAGCACTTGTAGATCTAAGCCATGAGTGATCAGTCCCAGGCACAGTGAATGTATTAGGCCACCCAAGCAATTTTTTTGCCCGCCCCCTCCCCCAGGACTCGACAGATTTTGGAAGTAATGAAGGCAAAAAGAAAAAAAAGTCAACATAGCACTTGAGTGGGCAGAAAGATTTATAACCAGTCCAGCACCTTGATGGGGATTCAATTTGCCCCTTTCTTCGCAATCAGATAAATTGTTTGTTGAGCATGGAGAGAGCCAAGACTCTCTGCAGTTGATATGTGCAGGTCAGCCGAGGAGATGGGCGATGTGTACCTATTTACATGTGAGCACACAGGAACGTGGGGTGGTCACAACTACTTCTGCCAAGGGTTGGCCAAGGCTGAATGTAGCCCTCGGGTCCATAAAGGAGATCTGATCTGGATCCAGCCCATAGACAGTGTGCATACACGTAGCCTATGTGTGGACTGATCTGAGCCAAGATTCGCTGCGACTCATACAGAACATACTCTGAATGCCAATACTCAGTCACAGAAAACAAAACAGTGCCTTGCAGCATGGACAGAGTTCCTGAGTAACCACAAGTAGCTCACATCTGTCTGGCATTAGGATGCAAAGATATCACCTAAAATGCATAAAGATTTCACCTAAAATGCATACGCTGAAGGTGGGCTTTAGCCCTGGTACTTCTTTCTTGGTTAAGATATAGAGCAAAGCACATACCAACATGTGTAGCCTTCAGCCTTTCAGACAGAGACTCATCTTTAATCCAGTACTTGCCCTCCCTTCTTCTTTCCCTTTTAAAAAGTGACAAGAGGCAACAATAGTTGTGGCTGCTGTGCAACCTATTTTCAGTTAAAACCCACCAGCAGAATACCAATGATACATTATTTCTATCTTGCGTTCTATGCCTGATCCATGTTTTCTTAGAAACCTGAGATATTATGAAAAAAAAAATGTGGTGAGTGCAATGTTACCAAACTAGTTCATTTTTATTTCCCCTATTCCCATATTTTGAGTGAATTATAACCATTTTTTATTAGATGTATATGGTCAATCTACTGTGACTTGCCAATATTGCTCTTAATTTTTTTAGTATCCCTGTTTAGCTACATGGATGACTTAAAGGTTGAGAAAGGTGGAATGGAGATTAACATTTTTCAGAAATGTTAACAGACTCCTCTGAACAAGATCATCACAGTCCTCTCCCCCTTTAATGAAATCACATGGCTAAGTAATTCTTCACATTTCTTAGAGCTGTGATGAATGAGATGAAAGAAATGTTCAAAAACGTTAAAGATTAGAAAAAGGAAAGTGATGCAAGATTGGAAAACCTGTATTTTTTTGCAAAAAGAGCCATAGTACACACTTTTTTTTGTTTCCTCCTGTTCCTAGTTATTAGGAATGGTGAAATATTTTCTGCTGATTTTGTGTTGTTGCTGGGTGTGGGTTTTTTTTGGGGGGGGGGAGAAACCACAGAATTTGTCAAAATAAATATTGAATACAACCTATTTGTACGATTGAAAGTACTCTTCAAGTGCAATCTGGCCAGTACAAATCACCATTCAAGAGTCAGGTAATTCCAGTGCCATCCATCATTTCTGCTCTGATATGTTACAAGTGAAGAGTCAGCTTATTCTTCTGGATTTAGACATTCAGAAGTCTATCCAGTCAATGGCTGAAGTCGTCTTCTGGGCAGCACACCAAACATGAAAAGTCAAGTCCTTCGTGCAGGCACTACTCAGTGCTGGAGCAGAAAGTTGGTGGCTACGTTAAGGTCATTATTTGAAGCCCGCAAAGCTTCTAGAGCATCCAGACGGGAAAATCCCATTTCCATGAGCCGTGCGACCTTGCAGAAAAGGAAAGAGACAAAAAGAGGTCTTTATCTGGAATTTCGGCTAAGCAGTCAAGATAATTGCATGCTTTAAAAAATGGTTAAGAATAGGTAAATAGTATAAGGTAGGACTTTGGCTGCCTCATGGGAAGAAACCACTCTTTAGCTCCTTGTCCAATGTCCATGCCTGTGTTAAACCAGTTTCTGGAGGCTGATGCTGGGAAAAGGAGGGGTCTTATCTAATGTGATCTGGGGCTTTTCACTGTTAGTAACAAGGGAAGGGAGGCACTGAGGTGGTTACCACACAACCAGAAAAGTGTGAGAACCCAGCCTTAGTTTTCAGGTCTTTTCTCTTAAGTGCTACATTCTGAGGCAGTGAGATTTTCACATGGAGTGGTTGTCCCCGCCCACCCTGGTTTAAACTGAAGCTATAGTCCAGGAGTCAGCAAACTTTTTCAGCAGGGGGCCAGTCCACCGTCCCTCAGACCATGTGGTGGGCCGGACTATATTTTGAAGATAAAAATAAATGAATTCCTATGCCCCACAATTAACCCAGAGATGCATTTTAAATAAAAGCACACGTTGTACTCATGTTAAAACACCAGGCAGGCCCCACAAATAACCCAGAGATGCATTTTAAATAAAAGGACACATTCTACTCATGTAAAAACATGCTGATTCCTGGACCATCCGTGGGCCGGATTTAGAAGGCGATTGGGCTGTATTCGGCCCCCAGGCCTTAGGTTGTCTACCCCTGCTATCAGAGAGGTGTATTGCCTCAAAAAGGGAACATGTAAATTTGGTTTCAGAGATGCACTGTACGAAAATCTTGAAAGTGGAGGAAACACTGTTTAAAATAAGGTTATCCACAGCTTGGAATCTACTTCCTTATCACAAGAAAGCTGTCATTATCCAAGTTCTCAGTTGGAAGCAAATGTAAAACCATGTTGGTCGGTGCTATATAAGGGCTCGCTGAATGCCTTTTCTCTTTTAAAAAATGTGTCATAGGTGTGCTACCTGTATTTCCAAGGAACATTTAATGAGACCCTTAACTAAACCCGCTGTAAACAAAGTTGTGATTCTAACATGCACTGTTCCAGCTCCAATGCTCATAACAAAAGGAAGAAGGCAAATTGGCTTTTGATGAACCGTGTGCATTAAATCTGTTATTCAGGGAGTGCTGTTGCTGTTAAGATCTAGACAGGCCTGCTGCTTTGCATGGTGGAATGGACATGTTTAAATCAGAAAACAAATTTCTAAATGAATCAACATTTCCAGACTGATGGCATGAGTACTTTTAAAGAACAGAGAATGATCAGTATTTGTCACAGTCCTGATTTTCATTTTTTCTTACGCAGTTATAGAAATGAATCAGAGAGACAGGTGAGTCAGGGAACCCCCACACCAGCTCATCAACTGCCATTTGGCTCCTGGCCTGCTTTTCTTTCCACCAATGGCCACCTACCAAGCAGCGAGCCCGCCCACCCCACCCCACCATCCATGATCTCCGCTGGGTCCAAGTGCTACTCAGCTCCCACTCCTAAAATTGTCTCATGCAATTCCAATCTTTGGCCTCTACACGTTCAAGTCTAATGAAGAAAGGAAAGAAAGGCCATTGTACCTTTTGTTGTTCAATTGTGTGTGCGCACTTCTGTGTCCTACACCTGATACGCAAAACCTGCGCCATGTGGCTGACAGGAACCACAGTGGGAAGAGACAATGCAAAATTCCCATAATCAACTTTCTATTCTCTGACTGGGTACTCTACGGTGCTAGGAAGGGAGCATGGAAAGCTATGGAAGTGACCTTAATTAAGCAGAATTGTCTAATACGCCACATAACCATGTTGGCTCTCTCCATCACCAGCACAACCACACATATCCTTACCTGTTCTTCAGAAACTTCAGCCGGAGGTAGCACCTCATGTTCTGTCTGGTGATTATCCTGATAGTTTGCATTCCGTCGATGGCGTAAAGGAGGAAAGAGACGATTCCAGTTGATCATTCCACCCTGTAAACAAATATGCCCAAAATTGCTATTGTTTAAACACAAAACTGGCAAAACGACCGTTATGACTGAAGAGGCAATCAATCTCTGCCACACAAAATGAAGCATTACATGGTTTGAGACCAGGATATTAATGGACTGCTTCTTTCCATATCAACCTGTCTATACCATGTCATCTTCGTTGGAGGCCCCGCTATGCGTCCCACTAGATCAGGAGTCAGCAAACCTTTTCAGCAGGGGTCCATTCCACTGTCCCTCAGACCTTGTGGGGGGCCAGACTATATTTGGGGGGGGGGGAGAACGGATTCCTATGCCCACAAATAACCCAGAGATGCCTTTTAAATAAAAGGACACATTCTACTCATGTGAAAACACGCTGATTCCCGGACCATCCGTGGGCCGGATTTAGAAGGCGATTGGGCCAGATCCGGCCCCCAGGCCTTAGTTTGCCTACCCATGCACCAGATTCAGAAGCATGACTGCGAGGCAGGGTATTTTCTATTGTGGCACCCAGCTTGTGGAACACTGCCTAGAGAGAGGTTGGCTGGATTCTTGAAGTTAAGCTTCATGTGTATGAGTGGAACTTTATTATTATTATTAATTCACAGGCCTTTTAGTATGTGGATTAAATCCCTGTTTCTTTTATTGCGCTCTTGGTTTTCATGTAGAAAATTGATTTTAATCATTCACAGTGTTTCTACTGTTAACT